TTCCCAAGAGATGGGAGATAAAAGATTGATTTCCCACGTTTGATAATACTGGGAAGGTAATCGGGAGATAACACTTTATTTCCTTTCTCATGTTTGTTTTGAGAGGAATGGAAAACAAAGTTTGTATAAATTTTCAATTATACCCATATTAAATTAAATACAAAAATAATGCATTTAATGATATATTGTAATTTTAAATTGTTAATGGGGACAAAATGGTCATGAAAAATATGTGTTTAATGTTGGTTTATTTCCCCCCTACTTTCCCATGGGCTAGGCAACGATTTCTTATACCTGGATTTACCAAACATGAGAAAGTAATTGATTTTTCCTCTCCAAGTCTCCTTTTCCATAAACCAAACGGGCCTCTAAGTGAAAGGGAGATAGTCAGGCGCATGTGGTTTGCATGGGCTGGGGAGGGACAGCCCACTAGGCTGAAAGTAGCTTCTGGTAATCTATCCCTTCTGAGCAGGGGCCCAATAAGATGTTAATTCGTGGATGGTCATGAATGCTTTATACAGTTTCCTAAGGCGACGATGATCTTAACAATCGCTTACCTCCGTCTTGTCATGTGTGAGACCCAATGGCATCTCCTCTCGTAAAGGCATGTCTTGTCCTAGAAATGGCCCACTGGTGATCAGATACGTGGACGTCTTCGATCATTTGCAGCTCCTAAGTCTCTGAGTGAGCCATCCCTCAGGTGGTTGACCTGGGCATTCCAAGGTATGTAGGAAGATACCTTGATTTCTCCTAACCATATAGGCCAACCCGAGGGTTCGATGTGGTGACAGCCACTGGCGGATCTAGTAAGGCGCAAGGAGTTGCACCTCCTCTAACCGGAAAAACCATTATAAGTATTTGAAATTGCCTTTTTACTCAACTGCTGTACAAAATACCTTATTTTTATCTTCAACATTTAAGTAAATGTCTTTGTTCTTTTACTTTTATTTATTTTTATATTACTCCATTTACTTAAGTTTACAATGTAAATAAGGAAGTACTCCTCATTTGGATTCAAATAAAAATACTAGAAAATCAAATTCCCACCAAATCAAAATATGAAAATTCGGTTTTAGTGCAAAATATGATTTAGGCTAAAAATGATGGCTCATTAAGTCAATATATACTTCATACTAAAATCCCATAAAATCAAGTTTTCTTATTTGATGTGTAAGAAATAAAAGCCGCCAAAAATTATCTTGAGAAAATGATTATTCCGAAAAACCATTTTTCATACTTAGTCAATATTGCACTTCTGCTAAAAAATTTCTGGATCCACCAATGCTGTGTGGTTTTAGTGCTCGTCCCGTTCGAGTGGTCAATCATAAGGGTCTGCCTCAACTAGTGTGGCTTGTGTGGGCTTTGAGTCCACATCACGGTGCTAGTGGTTAATTCGGCTCGGTCAGTCCCTTATATCAACAACTACCATGTACAAATACATGGTACAAATAACCACTTTTTCTGTAGCACTTTGAGCCAATACAATAAGATTTTTGTAATTTAGCGTAGGCAAAGCAATAATTTAGATTCCTTGTCAAATTCCAATAATACCCATGTCGAAAAAATTATTTCAACAGTCACGCCCCATCACTACTACGTTTCACCATTTGCACGACGAAGAATAAGTCGTCGCGCAAACCATACAGGCGCGACGAAAGAAACTATTCGTTGCGCAATCCACTGAAAATTTGCGCCACCAAAATTTTCGTCACACAAAATGTATATGCGCGACAAAACAATTTTTCCTCGCGCAAACAGAGTTAAAAAAAGCGGGGGGAATTTTTTTGGTGCGAAACATTTGCGCGACGAGAAATATCGTCGCTAAAGGCAACATTGCGCGACGAACCAATGTTCCGTCGCGCAAAAAGGACAGTACCCAGTGGGTCCCCTTATTTAGCGTGACGGGAAGATATTTCGTCGCGTAAGAGAACGAGAGATATTTTATTTTTGGCGCCAGAAATGACATGGAGGTAGCGCATTGGTTCATACTGAACAATTGAGATGAGATCATGAGATACTTATAGGAGCATGAAGAGATGATGAAGTGAGAACATCCATCACATTTGGTTGCCCAGAAACACCGTGAATTGTTTCCACAATGATTTTTGGATTCTGTAAGTTATCAGTGTTTGTTATTTGAGAAATATAAATTTTTTTTTAAATTTTGTCAGACTAACATATGAATGGTTTTGTATAATATTAGGTGAATAAGTTGAAATCATCGAATTCCCCAACTTACAGTGATGAGTTATATAACTTGGCGTTCGGCCCGATTCGCGCTGAATTGTTCTCGGGTTGTAATGTCAACGGCGTCAAATTTTTGGCCGAAACACGAGATGACAAGTTGTGTACGCAAAACAGCGGTGTCCATGTCCCAGGTGGAGGCGAAAGTACGGACATTGATTTCTATGGCAAACTCACAACTGTCGTGCAATTGCTTTACAAAGATCGATACCAAGTGATCATGTTTAAGTGTCGATGGTTTGACACCAACCCAAATAGGCCGGGAAGTGTTAAAATCGATCATGGCTTACTATCTGTGAACATGAACAGAACTTGGTATGATGACGACCCTTATATTTTGGCAAACATGGCAACACAAATTGTGTATCTAGATGACCCTAAAGCCGGAAGCGGTTGGAACGTTGTTCAAAAGATGGATCACGGGAACGTGTATGCTATACCAGAACTAGACCCAACTGACAACGACGTCAACAATGTGGCTGACCAACGTTTAGAATCTTCAATGGAAAATGATGCGGAAACACTTCGAGATACTAATGTTATACAAGAGCCATTTCAAATACAAGGAGTGTCTTCAATCGAAATACCGATTCAGTCAATTACAATTGACCTCGGTGATCTTCCGCGATATGATGTTGCAGTTGGCCCGAGCAACGACGATGATGTAGTTATAAAGGAGGCAGAGGAGGAGGAAGAGGATTGGGAGACCGAAAGTGATGATAGCAACGATAACGAAAGTTATTATAGTTCAGATGATGAATGATTAATTTTTTTTGTAATTTTATTATGTTAGTGGACATATTTTGTGTAATGCAAATGTTTTCATATATGTACTTGTTAAATCCAAACATTATATATGTCCAGAAATGAAACATTATTAAAATAAATGTAGTTATAAACCATTGGTAAATAAATATATCCAAGTAATTTGTATCATAAAGTTTAAATTTATTTTGACAAAAAACTTTTAAAAAATGAAAACCATATAACCGAAAAAATGAATACAAAGAAAATAAGATTATCAACAATCCTTCCATTCTCAAATAAAAAGAAAATAGAATAAATCATACTTTCATACAATTAATTATATTCAACAGATTAATAATATGTGAATTAAAATAACCTTGCGCGACGAAGGCATAATTGTTGCGCAAATTTTGCGCGACGGATAATGTACACGTCGCGCATACTCTATTATTTGCGCGACGAAAAACAGACCTCGTCGCGCAAACATATACACATATATATATTTCTGATATATACACACGTATATAGTTGAAATTGACGATCGAAGTAGTTCACTGTATTCACATAGGGTTAAACAGTATAGCTGTAAAAAATCATCAAAATCAGAGTCAAAATAACCGTTAAATCATGACTTTTCGTTTATAACCGTCGAAACGTTTTGTCCCGTTACTTGATCTCTGAATGTTTTTTTTTTCTCATTTTTGACGTATACGATCTCGAAGTATAAACAAACATATTTGACGGCTAGATTACTGAAACTAGTTTCCTAGAATGCGTATTCCATAAAACCACAATATTCATAAAAAATGAATAATTTCTTTATACATTCATTCAGTCTAACATAAGATTATGTGATGTCCTGTACTGTAAATATCTGAAATTGAAGATCGAATTACATCTCTGTATTCATATAGGGTCAAGAACCGCAGCTGTAAAAAATTTTCAAGATCGGAGTTAAAATCACCGTTGAATCGGGACAATTTGTTTAGAACCGTCGAAAAGTTTTGTCCCGTTACTCAATCTCTGAATGTTCATTCATTATGATTTTTGACGTATGCGATCTTGAACTATGAAAAAAGAAGATTGCCGGTTGGATCGTTGAAACTAGTTCAGGAGTTCGGGTTTAGGGCTTAAGGTACAGGTTTTAGGGTTTAGGGTACAAGGGTATTGTTTTGCGCGACGAAATCAACTCTTACTCGTCGCGCAAAACATCAGCGACGAACATAAGTCCCTTCGTCGCGCAAAATCATTAAAAAAATTCGGTGCCCTTCTCCGCTCCAACACTTGGTTAAATTTTTCTTGGCAAAAGCCAGATTGCGCGACGAACATAAGTGCCTTCGTCGCGCAAAACCTTGAACAAAATTCGTTGCCCTTCTCCGCTCCAACAGTTAGTGAAATTTTTTTGGCAAAAGCCAGATTGCGCGACGAACATAAGTCCCTTCGTCGCGCAAAATCATTAAAAAAATTCGCTGCCCTTCTCCGCTCCAACACTTAGTTAAATTTTTCTTGGCAAAAGCCAGATTGCGCGACGAACATAAGTGCCTTCGTCGCGCAAAACCCTGAACAAAATTCGCTGCCCTTCTCCGCTCCAACAGTTAGTGAATTTTTTTTTGGCAAAAGCCAGATTGCGCGACGAACATAAGTCCCTTCGTCGCGCAAATCATTAAAAAAATTCGCTGCCCTTCTCCGCTCCAACACTTGCCCTTCCCCGCGCAAAATCAAATCCCAAAATTTTGGGCGGCTGGACAAATGTGCGCGACGACACTAGTATATCTTTTCACAACTTTTCGCAACGAAATCATGTGTTTAAGTCGCACAAAGGTCATATTTTTATAATATTGCGCGACGAATAGTTTATTTTTGCGTAGCGCAAATGTTATTTTAATGAATTTTACGCGACGGATTTATATATTCGTCGCGCAAAGTCGAATAAGTTTTCTGAAAATCGCGATCTTCTCCTTCTTCCCCAATTTCTCAAACGGAACCCTAAATCTCCCTTTCCCTCCGCCATGACCTCAGCCCCTACTCCGCCCCAATTCAGACCCTGCCGCCACCACCGTCGAACCCAGGAGCTTCTCCGCCGTCGCCGTCCATCCTGCCGCCGTGATTTCCTCCGTTTAGGCCGAATCTTCGCCGCCGTTGTTCTCTCTCCTCCGGGCACCAAATCCGGCAATTGAGGTATGCTTTCTGGGCTATTTTTCATGCTATAGCTGATGGTTGTGTAGGATTTGATTGATTGTGTGCATAGGGTAGTGAATTTGAAACCCTAGGTTTCGGCCGATTTTGAAATTGAAATTCCGGCCACTTCCGTCCGTTTTTCGGGGTAGGTCCGAGAACAAAAGTGCCTCCAATTGATGTTTTCAACCTAGGGTAGGAACCTTGGCCCTTAATTTTTAGGATTTCCCGGTGATTGTTATCGCTTAGGGCACCCACGCGCTGCCGGCGCGTGTGGTGGCGCTTGGGGTACTGTGGCATAGGGCATTTTGTCCCAGTGCAAACATTTCGTTGTCACAAGCGCGTAGGTGTGCTCGGATTGGAATTTGGTTATCGTTTGAGTCTCGAACGGTTCGAACCTATTGTGCGATTTTAGGGTTTGATATGTTCGGACCGTTGGATCGAGCTGAAACTCACGTATGTGGTACCATGTATTTATAGGATCGTTTAGGATTCGACGGATCGTGGATCGGAGTCCCGGATACTCCGAAATCGCAAACCCTAGGTCAAACTTTGATTTTAATTAGTTAGTTCAATTTTTTAATGACATTGTATGTGCTACATTGGATTAATGAAATTGTGCAGATGTCAGACTTGATTAGACGTCGTAGGGCGGTGACGGGTACACCGAGTTCGGAGCCCCGGCTCAGCCGGTATCAGCTGCCACTGCTCCAGCACTGATGGAGCAGGACCACGTGCTAGCTGGTCCTGGGGGATCCCAGGCGGCTGCATCATCATCTTCTTCGGTGGTGCAGCCTCTTAGCGCTAGGCGGCGACACCGGCCCGCTACCACCACCGACACCACATCGACTGACTGTACTGGTGCCTCGGGGGCACCTCCAGGTAATACCCTTCCACTTTCATTTTTTTGTTTTTAACATTTTTTTAATTGGGAATTTTATGGTTCAATTTGATTGTATATGTAACAATATTGTCATATCCCTTTGCAGCCAAGAGGAACACCCGAGGGCCGTGTCGGCAGCTGAAGAAGGCGAAGGTCACCCGGGTGACCAACAGTCGTATCAGCATCGGATATGACGAGCGCCATCGGGCTGCACCGACGGCGGACTTGCATAGCTCCTTGGCCCACGACATTGGCCACGTCGTTCGGACCCATTGCCCGATGCAATGGAAGTCTTGGAAGGTCATGCCTGACGAGATCAAGATGCAAGTTCGCGGCCAGTTGTCGGTATATTTCCTATCTTTTAATTATTTTTCTTTCAAACTTTATATATTTCTATTACTTAATGTATGTAATCAATTTATTGCAGACGAACTACGACTTAGAGGACATCAACGAGGAGACCTTGGCGTACGTCAACAGACTCTTCGGTGAAAGGTACAAGCAGTGGAAGAGCGACTTGCACCACCATTTTCAGGCGTTTGATGATCCGCAAGTCGCTCTTCAGGAGGGTTGCCCGAAGGAGCTTGAGGGGCGGGAGGATAGTTGGGCGTGGCTCTGCGCTCATTTTCAGGCGCCCGATTATGTGGTATTTTTTTAATAATATTTGTTTAATGTTTATTTTATTTTTTATATCTCATTATTATTTAATTTATTTATAGTTCAATTATTACGTTTTATTTTTGTATAACAGAATAAAGCCCAAGTGAATAAGGGCAATAGGAAGAAGAAGACTTTTCTTCACCATTCCGGCTCCAGGCCCTTCTCATATAGGATGGATGCACGGCGTCGGGTAAGAATAATATAATTTATATTTAATTTTTAATACGTCATTATTATTAATTTCTTTTGTTCATACTAATATTTTCCTTCTCTGGTTCAATTAAGGGGGGGTCGAAATTCCCAGAGATCGACGTCTTTGGTGACGTTTATGTTTGACCTGGGAATGAGTTGGCCGAGTCCCTTCATGTAAGTATTATGTATTTTTAATTCTTATGTTACACTTTCAATTTATATGCATTTTTGAATTTATATTTTATGTAATGTTAAACAGACGACGATGGTGGAGAGGAGCCAGTTGGTTCTTCAAGAGTCCGCCTCCCAACTTCCTCCCGAGACTCCGATCGAGTCTGTGGATCCTCCGCATGATGCTGGATTTCAGATTTTGACGCAGACGTTGGATCAGACTCTCGGGAGGAGGCCGGGAACGTATTGTAGGGGGATGGGGAATGCCCGACAGAGGGAACCTCGACTGCGGTCATCGTCGCAGGCAAACAGTCAGGTGACTGTTTTGACATCGCGGGTTGCCGAGCTTGAGGGTCAGATGTCGGTGATTCTGCAGTCCCTCGCGCGGTCCGGCATTCCAATCCCGAATTTTGGTGCGTCGACCTCCGAGCCCGTCCACCCCGAGCATCCCCAGCACACCACGGCCCCTGCAGACGCCCATACCTCCGAGCCGCATGTGGCAGATGACCAAGTAGATTTTGGAACATTATTTGATTAGTTTTTTATTTTTATAATTACTTTTACAATTTGTATACATTTCTTTTATTTTATATAATAGATGTTTTCTTTACGATTAATCTTTTTATTGTAATTTCATTTTAATTATAAAAAAAAACCAAATTTATTTTTTTACAAAATTAAAAATCAAATAATAATAATTTTTTTAAATAATATATATTGCTTTTGTGCGACGAAACGTAAATCGTCGCGCAAAAACATTTAAATAACAAATCGACAAATATATTTTAATCATGCGCGACGAATAATTTCGTTGCGCAAAATGTGTATGGGCGACGAATACGATTTCGTCGCGCAAAGTTCATGTAGCTCGCGCTACGGAAGAGTCCATCGCGCAGTTTTTTTTGCGACGACCACTGTTTCGTCGCACAAATATTTGTGCGACGGACATTGAGGTCGTCCCGAAATGTTTTTTTAAATGAAGTTGTTATACGTAGCACAAACAGCGCGACGAATGACATTTATTCGTCGCGCAAATCCTTTCTTCACGAACTTTGCCCGACGGACTGCGCGCGACGAAACTTCTGTCGCGCATAATTATGTGCGACTAAAATCATTTTTGCGCGACGAAGACCCCTACGTCGCGCAAAGACTAAAATGTAGTAGTGCATACCTATATCCTCAAATAATTGGACTTTGAGCAAATATTCCAAAGCAAATTCAAAGAAATATTTCACTAAATTAACGTTGGTATTTGTTGATCTGAATAATTATCAACATTTATTAATAATAAAAATAATTAAATACCAGCCTAAGGCATGACCTAATGGAAACTGAACATCCTTATGGGGTGAATAGATGGGATATAAATTCTCGGTTTGGGGTCTCTCTGCCATTATCTACTTGACTTTTACTCTGTGTATGGCACCTCATTAAAATTTAATCCAAAATGAAACCCACAAATGCCACATAGGCAGATAACAGATTTCCTAACGGACTCGCTAACGGAGGAGGCAATCTGTAGGCTTTCCGCAACGTTGAGTATGTACCCATAAATGTCCCCAAAATTGGATATGGACTCATAAATGACCATATAGGTTGGAGGTTTACTGTAGTTTATCTAATTTTTTATGTCCATCATGTGAAAGAAACATGAACACCAATAGGAAAAACGAAATTTTTCCAGCCACATAAAATACCTTTTGAGTCTTTGACTATACTAATCCAAGTTGATTATCATGACTTTTATTTATTTATTATCTCCATTTTTATCCTCACCTCTATACAAGATGGGTCTCCAAATGAAGCTGAATACCTGCACAAGGAGATGGCAACAAAACCCTTTACTGGTTCCTCTAGAAAAGTTTCTGAAACTCAAACAGAGCTCCCACGAAAAGAAACTGAAACAGTGCTCCCACAAAAAGAAACTGAATCAGAGCTCCCGCAAAACAGAACTAGTGAGGCAGAAAATAGTAATAACCAGACCTGGAACATTCGTGAGAACGTAATTACCGGAGCAGAAAGCAGAAACGTTGGGATTTTCAACTTCGGCAACGAATATCATGAAGGTGGTGCTGTCGATCATCATCAAGGAAGGAAGGGTCAAAACAAAACTGACTACAACATTGATGGCAACAAGATTGATTCAAAAGATGGGGAGTTTGTTGGGATCGGCAAATTTGGCAACAAGTACTACAACTCGAGGAAAGAAGAAGGAACGAGCAAGAAGCCATGGTATAAGTTTTGGTAAAAATAAACAAGAGAGAAAGTAAGGGAGCTGCGCTGCTGAATAAAGAAAGAGGCTGGAGTTCATTTCCATGTTTGTTAGGTGGAGCACTTTGCTCTGGTTTTGCTTCTTTCTTTTTGTTTTTTTATTTCCATGTTTATTACCCGAACTGATCTGACAATGAGTAATTATTTATTTACATTACGTACGGAGCTGTATGGTTTTAGTGCTCGTCTGGTTCGAGTGTCGGGTGTGGGCTTTGAGCCCACATCGCAGTGCTAGTGGTTAATTCGGCTCAGTCAGTCTCCATGTCAACAACCAACAACCGCTTTTTCTGTAGCACTTTGAGCCAATACAATAAGATTTTGTAATTTAGTGTAGGCAAAGCAATAATTTAGATTCCTTGTCAAATTCCAATAATACCCATGTCGGAAAAATTATTTCAACTGTCACACCCCATACCTATATCCTCAAATAACTGGACTTTGAGCAAATATTCCAAAGCAAATTCAAAGAAATATTTCACTAAATTACCGTTGGTATATATTTGTTGACCTGAAAAATTATTAACATTTATTAATAATAAAAATAATTAAATACCAGCCTAAGTTGTGATTTAATAGCAACTGAACCTCCTTATGGGGTGCTAGTATTGCTAAACTGAGCATGGAGATTGCACAGAGAGGTAGAGCTGCTTCCTAAATAGATATAAGAATTTTTGATCTTGTTTGTGTGTGTGAACACCCGTTTTAAAAATATATATGAATGATAAGGAAATTGTAGACTTATCTGCATTATTGTTAAGATTGGAATGTGTGGTATTGTTTTTTCACAGAGATGATAGTAGAATTTGGAGTTTGGAGGCTTCATGAGCGTACTCATGCAAATCCTTTTTCAGGCACTTGTTGGGACTTCCCACTTCTTCGCTCTTTTCTCCTTCTCATGTGATCCGTAAAGCTAAAAATACCCTACAAGGTAAGTTTGTTAACTTGGTTAATTGCCCATGGAAAGATCAACACATATGATATAATTGAAAGGAGGAGACCTTCCTTTTATTCATCCCTAATTGGTGAGCGCGTTATGTGTAAGTACGATAATGAGAATGTGGATCACTTATTTTCTTCCTTGTGTAGTTGGTTATTTAGGGACGCAGGTTTATCATGGAGGAACTTTGAATCCTATGGTGCTTTGCTAGGTGGAAGATTGAATTTTTTTTATGCCAAAAGGAGGCAGATGGTGCTGGGTAGTTGTGCTATGATAGCTGTGTTTTGGGTGGTGTGGATGGAGAGGAATAAGAGAATTTTTATGATGTTAAGGGTGACGATTTATACCAGTTTTTGGGACCGGGTTCGTTTTTGGCATCATTGTGGGCATCAACGTCTTCAATATTTAAGGATATTAACTTTAATTCCATTCATTTGGATTGGAAAACTATAATTTTGTAATGTTGTGTTTAGGCTGTTTCGGTGGTGTTCTTTGTTTTGGGTCTTGTGTGGCCCTCTTGGCCACCCCTAATGTTCTCCACAACTCTAGAACCATCTTTGTATTTATGATTCTTCTATATGTTTCCAATTTTTAATAGCAGAAATGTGCATTATTTCAACATCTTTTCATAAACGGATTGGTTTGGTAGTGAGGTAATGACAGTATGAAAGCACAAGGATGAAACTAAAGTATCAGCGCCGATGAGGGATCCAAGGTTTTTCTTTGTGATGCTAAAATCAACATTGAATTATTTTTTGGGTTTTTTATTATTATTATTTTTTGCAGTAGGTGCAAAAAAATAGTAATTTAGTTTTACCTTACAATCTATTATTCAAGTAGATGGCAATCCACAATCCAGTGACAATGATGCAAACAAAATTGTAACTTAGTCGGAATATCGAATTCTAAACCCTTAAACCTTCTAAACCATACTTAACCCTACTGCACTAAACACCAATATAATTGAGTAAGAATTATGTCAATATCAATCAATTAGTTTGCATTTTTCATTTTTGGATTTTATTTTTGGGCTTAGGGTTTACTATCCCTCATGTATCCTAAACCCTAAGCCCTTAAACCCCACTAAACCCCGCTCAGACTATAATGAGAGGAAAAAAAAAAAAAAAAAAAAAAAAAAAAAAAAAAAAAAAAAAAAAAAAAAAAAAAAAAAAAAAAAAAAAAAAAAAAAAAAAAAAAAAAAAAAAAAAAAAAAAAAAAAAAAAAAAAAAAAAAAAAAAAAAAAAAAAAAAAAAAAAAAAAAAAAAAAAAAAAAAAAAAAAAAAAAAAAAAAAAAAAAAAAAAAAAAAAAAAAAAAAAAAAAAAAAAAAAAAAAAAAAAAAAAAAAAAAAAAAAAAAAAAAAAAAAAAAAAAAAAAAAAAAAAAAAAAAAAAAAAAAAAAAAAAAAAAAAAAAAAAAAAAAAAAAAAAAAAAAAAAAAAAAAAAAAAAAAAAAAAAAAAAAAAAAAAAAAAAAAAAAAAAAAAAAAAAAAAAAAAAAAAAACGAACAAGCCGTTGCACATTTATCACCCAACCGAACCGAGTCAACCGTCTCGCTCTCTCACGCCCGTCGTCCCATCTGAGCTGATCAGATCAAACAATGGCTGACGGCTGTTTTTTGTCTCCATCCCCTCCTCTCTCATCTTCTACCGTTTCTTTTTTGTCCCTTCATATATTTATGTTGAAGGGCATCTCACCTTCATCTGCTTTTTCTTCCTCCTCTTCTGTATCACTCCTGTAATATTTCTCTATCTGCTTTGCTACCTTTCTCTTCAGTCCCTGTCTCTCTCCCTGTCTCTCTCTCTCTCTCTCTCTCTCTCTCTCTCTCTCTCGGTTTTGTGTGTGAGGACTGAGGAACTTCCACCATGAAAAAGTGGATTCAGAACACGCTCGCTGCTCACTGCAATGAACTTGTTTCTCTTCTCTCTCCAGGTCTCTCTCTCTCTCTCTCTCTCTCTCTCTCTCTCTCCTCTCTCTCTCTCTCTCTCTCTTGTTTTTAAAATGGAGAGTTCGTTTTGAAAATATATTTAAAAAGTAGATGTGGTTTTTGAGAAATTAGAGATGTTGTTATGTGGAAAGGTTTGTGACCGAGGAAAGGGGATACTACAATCTTATCAAATCATAGACGAGCTGGAAAAAGTGATTCAAGAGGATGAAGGATTGCAGAAGCTCAAGGACAGCCCCTTCAGCAAAGTCTTACAGTCTGCCCAGGTCAGTCAATTTTGCTACACACACTTGTGCTATTGTCTTTTTATTATTTATTTTTCCATTTTTGGTGCACAAATATATTAGTTATGTTCTTGTGCTTGAAATGAGAATGTTATGTTTCTGGGATTTCTTTGTCCAGTTCATATGAGGAAGTTATTTTTTTCTTAGAAGATGACAATTTAAACGTTACGATTTAAAGTTCCAAGTTTCCATTATGTGCAAGCTAAGAAAGCATAAATCTGTTGTGTGGAAGCATCAACTAACTGTGAGTGAAAAATAAACAACAATTGACAAGAGATAAAAAGAACAAAAACAATACCAACAAGAACACCAAGATTTATACTGGTTCAGCAATGCCGACATCTAGTTTGGAAATGACGGAGTAATTCACTATAATCAAATGAGAGAATACAATAGTGTTTAACACTCAAAAACCCAAGCTCACACACTGAAGAATATAAAGGGAATACAAATTAAGTAGAATTTGAAGAAAGGAAAAAATAACCAACGGCAGCCACAAATGTTTTGCTGCCCAACTATTATTTTTTCCTCTCACTTCTCTCTCTCTCTCTCTCTCTCTCTCTCTCAGTTTTTGGTGCGGCTCTCTCCATCCGAAGGATGAGTGGCTATTCAAAGGAGCCAATGGGTGGGCTGCTAATCAAGTCAAACCAATTAATTAGTCAAAGTCCAATAATTAATGTGCCCACGGCTCAATATAAAGCTGCCCATAATAAATGCATTCCCATGCAATTTGTCTGCCAATCGACAAAATACCAAGATAAACAGCCGAAGCAACCAATCAACTAAATTTCAAGGTTGTAGGTGCATTATTGAGTCAAATAGTCAACAAAATCTTCATTGTGCATGGCTTGTAACCTTGGTTGAGGTGAAATTTTGATCTCAGGCACTGATGACAATCAATGGGATTCAGCACATATATTTTAGTTTCCCTAATTTTTAGATGCTTTATGCAAGAAGTTCGTGCTGGTGAGGTAAGGGGGCCGTTTTACAGTCAATTGGACAGAGGTAGTTATGCTGCTATGATGTTTTAAGTGACATAATGTATTTGCAATGCAGTATAACATGTTCATTGGGTTTTTGATTTGTAAGCTTCTTTATTTTTTGCCGTAAGTGAAATGGAAAAGGCACTTTGTTGGTATTTTAAAGTGGTCATCACATTGATGTTTCTGTTTAGTGTACCAAGCAAAGAAGTGCTCTCTTATGTCTTTCATGCAATGTCCAAATACTCAATGAATAGCTAACATGGGTCGAAGTGGTCTTTGTAGTTCTGGTTTTCTGATTCATTCTTTATTTTTCATTTAGGAAGCAATTGTTCTACCTCCTTTCGTTGCTCTTGCATTTCGTCCAAGACCTGGTGTTTGGGAATATGTTCGAGTCAATGTGTATGAACTCAGTGTGGATCATTTGACTGTTGCAGAATATCTTCAGTTCAAGGAAGAACTTATAGATGGAGAGTAAGGGATCTCATATGTAAATCTTTGTTACTGAAATTTGTAATTTATGCTGAATCTCTGCACTTTCCTACCTGGTGTAGCATTAAATAGTGCCGACCGACTAAACAGTTTTTACTTGCTCTTTCAAATGCTTTATCCACAAGTACAATCTGAATTTGAAATGATTTTCCTAGGTGCAATGACAACTACGTGCTTGAACTTGATTTCGAGCCATTTAATGCAGCATTCCCTCGACCAACCCGGTCATCATCAATTGGAAATGGGGTTCAATACCTTAATCGTCACTTATCCTCAATTATGTTCAGTAAAAAAGAAAGTTTGGAGCCTCTTCTGGATTTCCTTCGTACGCACAAACATGATGGCCATGTAAGTTTGAAATTTGAAATCTATGAGTTTTAATGAATGAGCATTACACATTGTCAGTTATCATCATGATTTTTTGGCCCATTAATTTATTTTACTGGACTTTTCTTTGCTTGCATTTAAATTGAGTGTAACCTACTTGTCAACCTTAGGTTCTTAGTATCTCCCTTTCCTAAAGCCAGGCATGAATTAATATCAAAACAAAGTTTTGAAATCCTGATAGAGGTACCTTTTGACTGAATGATATTAGTTGTGAAATCTTGTGCAGGCAATGATGCTAAACGATCGGATTCATAGCATATCGAGACTTCAGTCTGCTTTAGCAAAGGCAGAGGAGTATCTTTCTAAGTTTCCTCCAACTACACCATATTCTGAATTTCAGTTTGAGTAAGAAACTCATCTATATTTCAAATATTTGATTGCCACTACTTTTGAGGAATGATTTGATTCCTTTGGATATTACCTTTGAAGTGTCGATGCAACATAGCTTCAACCTTTTTAACACTAAATGTAGCTTGCAAGGCATGGGGTTTGAGAGAGGGTGGGGTGACACAGCACAGCGGGTGTCAGAGATGGTGGCATCTACTCTTGGAAATTCTTCAGGCTCCTGATCCCTCTACCCTGGAAACTTTTCTTGGGAGGATTCCTATGGTGTTCAATGTTGTCATTGTGTCTCCACATGGCTACTTTGGCCAAGCAAATGTCTTGGGTTTGCCTGATACAGGCGGGCAGGTCTTGCTTACTTTTCCCTATCTCATGTCCATTTGTTTTTTTTGGTCCTTCCTTTCATAGCTTTTTCTGCTAAACCATGAAAAAGTTATATATTTTTTAACTGATATCAGGTTGTTTATATACTGGATCAAGTGCGCGGCCTGGAGAATGAGATGCTTCTTAGAATACAAAATCAAGGACTGGGTGTGATACCAAAGATTCTGATTGTAAGTTTGCCTAACTAAAAGTTTATGCAGTATTAGTTGGATAAGGTGTCGTTTTATATTAATTCTTGTGGTTTAAGGTTACCCGACTAATACCTTATGCAAAAGGGACAACATGCAACCAAAGATTGGAAAGAGTCAGTAGTACAGAACACACACATATCTTACGGGTACCTTTCAGGACTGAGAATGGAATTCTGCGGAAATGGCTTTCAAGGTTTGATGTGTGGCCTTACTTGGAGACCTTCGCAGAGGTAAGCAATCAAAAGCATAGGTTTTTATTTATTTTAAATCCTGTTTCTCTTCCCCTTTATTTTTCGTTGTCCCTTTTCAATTGCTTGAATGATCAATCTGTACCATGCATGCTTATGGATTTTAATAACTTTGCTTGTCAGTATATGACACAATAGCTCCTTCTCTTACTGTGGCTATTTTCAGGATGCCTCGAATGAAATTGCAGCTGTGTTGCAAGGTGTTCCAGATCTGATCATTGGAAACTACAGTGATGGAAATCTTGTTGCAACTCTGTTATCTTATAAACTAGGAATTACACAGGTGAACTCTATTTTTTTCATCCTATTATTTCCAATACAACATAAAATATTGGTGAAATGACATGGGGGAATAATATTGATTTTAATGTTTCGAAATGGGATTCTCAATGAAGTGCAATATTGCTCATGCATTGGAGAAAACAAAGTACCCAGATTCTGATATATATTGGAAAACACACGAGGACAAGTACCATTTTTCTAGTCAATTCACTGCTGATCTGATTGCAATGAACAATGCTGATTTCATAATCACCAGCACATACCAAGAGATTGCAGGAAGGTTAGACTTCTTCTCTAGTTTTTTGGAACATGATTTGAATATCTATTACATTTTCCACAAGAAATAATATCTCAATTTGTTCCACTACCTGCAGTTGCATTTGTAATGTAGTAGTATAATATGTAAGTTATATTTATGATTAGCAAGTTCAAATTCTTGTCTGTAACAACTAAGTGGACTGCTACATTTTGCAAAATGTGGTCCTTTATTCTTCTGTCTTGATTCTAGTATGTTTTGCTTATCGTTTTAAAGCTTAATATTCTTCTTTGTCTCAGCAAGAATAATGTTGGACAGTATGAGAGCCACACAGCTTTCACTCTACCTGGGCTGTATCGAGTTGTTCATGGGATTGATGTTTTTGATCCCAAGTTTAATATCATCTCCCCAGGAGCAGATAAGTGTATATATTTCCATATTCTGAAAAGGAAAGAAGACTTACTGCTCTACATGGCTCGATTGAAGAACTCTTATATGGGGCTGAGCAGAACGAGGAGCATATGTGAGTATCTTTAGTGTTTAAGTAGGGGAGAAAACAAACCTTTTTCAAAAAAATTTAGCCTATTTTAATTGATATATATATATATATATATAACTATGTGACGGAACTGACATGTACTTCATTTCCTTTGCACAATTTGTCTGATACTTCTTCAATGGTGATGCAGTGGGATCTTGAGTGATCGATCAAAGCGTATTGTCTTTTCCATGGCAAGACTTGATAGAGTGAAAAATTTAACTGGACTTGTTGAGTTTTATGCTAAGAGCACCAAGCTAAGAGAACTGGTAAACCTTGTTGTGGTTGGTGGTTACATAGATGTCAAGAACTGCAGGGATAGAGAAGAAATGGCAGAGATTGAAAAGATGCATGGCCTCATTAAGAAATACAATTTGAGTGGCCAGTTTCGATGGATAGTGACCCAAATGAACCATGCTCGTAATGGTGAGCTGTACCGCTACGTTGCAGACACAAAAGGTGTCTTTGTGCAGGTATGTGGTATAGATATATGATGGTTTGTTATGGTATTTATTTCCGGGTTTTAACCTGTTCTCTTATCTGTTGCAGCCTGCTTTTTATGAAGCTTTTGGCCTCACCGTTGTGGAAGCCATGAGTTGTGGCCTTCCTACTTTTGCAACTTGTCATGGTGGCCCTGCTGAGATCATTGAGCATGGTATTTCGGGGTTCCATATTGATCCCTATCACCCTGATCAAGTGGCTGCACTTCTGGTTGACTTCTTTGACCAGTGCCAGGAGGATCCTGGCTATTGGGAAAGGATATCTGAAACCGGGCTTAAACGAATTTTTGAAAGGTTTCGTATGTTCTGGCAAACTATTAAAAAAGACAATTTTTGTCAACCTCAGGGTTACTAATTTCATGCTCAATTGTCTAGGTACACTTGGAAGATATATTCTGAGAGGCTACTCAATTTAGCTGGGGTTTATGGATTCTGGAGCATGTGTCTAAGCTTGAGAGACGAGAGACGCGGCGATATCTGGAGATGTTTTACGTTCTCACATACCGAAACCTGGTCAGTAGTCTTATCCTTCCCAGTATGACACAGTAGACTCCCTGTAATCTGTAAGTCGGTTTTACATTCTATTTAGAAAAAGAAAAAGGTTACCGTAAGCAAAAAGCTAAAATATCTTTTCGGCTTCTACATTTTCCTGCTTAGTGGCTCGGTAGATCACTTTTCGGCTTCTGACCATGATTCTGATCCTGTTTCAGGTGAAGTCCATCTCGCTGGCTGTTGATGAGCAGCATTGAAGAATCATATCATAGGTGCCAAAGAAGCAGTTTGCTTGTTGCTGCTTAGTGTGTGCATTCGAATTATTGATCCAAAATATTCTGTAATCGCTATACCACCGTATAATTTTGCCGCCTTAAAAATTTAGCACAAACGCATGTACAAATTAATCTAGTGCTAGGTAGTAGCTGTTTCTTTTTTGTTTTCCTGGAAAAATAAGGACACCCGAGAATTTTCTCAGGACTTGGTCCACGCAAATTCAAATTCTTGCCATCCACTGCCCAAATCAGCATCATCTTTTTTATTTTTAATATAAGCGATAGTCTAAATTAAAAGGCGGTTCTTCACAAACACTACTGAGGTGTCATGGTATTCGAACTTGAGATTGTTGGTTTACAAATTAAGACCATTTTTCACTAGGCTAAATGCCTTTTGCAAATCAACATCACACAAGTGCTTATGGCCAGAAAAATGCTCGACTCAGAAACACTCTTAAAATAGGCCATAGAGACATTACTGGGTTGGGCATACTTGCAAATCAATCTAGCTCAAAGCCCACTTTTTTTATAAGCCCAATGAAGCCCAGTATAGGGTCCTAGAGATCTCCGCCTGGATATGAAAATCTGAAAATTTTCCGTTAGGATTTCAAATAGCGAGGGAAGAAGAGTCAGGAGTCCCAGGCCTTTACAGAGGCTGGCGCCGCTGAAACACCTCCAAGTGCCCCTTCACACTTATAACCCTCTCTCTCTCTCTCTCTCTCTCTCTGTGATCAGACCAAAACAATGGCCGTTTTTGTCTCCTTTCTCCTCTCTCGTTTTCTGCAATTTCCGTTTGGCTATTTATATGCTTTATGTGTCCCTCCTCTCCTCGCCTTCACCTTCACCTTCACCTTCACCTCCAGTTTCTACTTTCTCTGTCTCCCTGGTAGTTCCAGCTTCAACCATGAGGAAGAGCATTGAAGACACCCTCGCTGCTCACCGCAATGAACTTGTTTCTCTTCTCTCTAGGTCTCTCTCTCTCTCTCTCTCTCTCTCTCTCTCTCTCTCTCACTGTATTTCAAATGGAGGGTTCTTTTGAAATTAAGAAAAAAATACAAATTTGATGTGGGTTTTGAGAAAGTTGTGATTTTGTTATGTTGGAAGGTATGTTGATCGAGGAAATGGGATACTGCAACCTCATCAAATGATAAACGAGCTAGAAAACGTGATTGCAGAGGATGAAGGAATGCAGAAGCTCAAGGATAGCCCCTTCAGTATAGTCTTACAGTCTGCGCAGGTCAATTTCCTACACTTTCTTGTGTGCAGATATATTAATTATGCGGTTATTAGTTTCTGCATGTCCCCTTTGTGTTTCACATTGAGTTTGAAATGAGGATGTTATGTTTTTTAGAGCAGCTTATTGTTTATTATTTGTTTATACAGTTTAGATAACGAAATTTTAGGATGTCTCTGAAGCAGTACATGTTTGTTTGCTTAGAAAATGACAAGTAAAGATATATGCTGAATCACATTCAATGTCCCCTTTGTGAATAATTTAAAGTTCCAATCTTCATTATTCGAGACCCAAGAAAACACAAATCTTTCATTCTGCATGGCTTGTAAACTCTGTTGAGGTGAACTTTTGATTTCAGAAACAGATGACATTGAATGTGATTCATCATATATCTTTCACCTTCCCTCATTTTTCTGTACAACCAAATACACAGATAATGAATTTTTCACATAAAATGGTAGTTTAAATTGATCATGATAATGATTGCTTTGTTTCAATGCACATTATTTTTTAATCCATTGACTATATTAGCTTTTATTAGTATATTCCTAAAACCAAGCAAAGAAATGTTCTCTTATGTGTTTGATGAGGTCCAAATACTTTATAAATGACAAACATGCGTGAAAGTTTTCTTTGTTGTTCTGTTTTTTTTATTTCATTCTTTGTTTGTCATTTTAGGAAGCAATTGTTCAAACTCCTTTCGGGCTCTTGCACTTCGTCCAAGACCTGGTGTATGGGAATATGTTCGTGTTAATGTGTATGAGCTCAGTGTGGATCTTTGAGTGTTGCAGAATATCTCTGGTTCAAGGAAGAACTTCTGGATGGAGAGTAAGGGATCTCATGTGAAAATCTTTGTTAATGAATTTTGTAATTGATGCTGAATCTCTGTGCTTTCTTATCTGGTTTAGCATTAAGCATTACATTGTAAGGACAAACCAGGTTTTATATTGTTACCTTTTCAAAAAAACAAAACAGGTTTTATTTGGTCTTTCAATTTCATTATCCGCGAATGCAATCTCAATTTGAAATGATTGTCCTAGGTGCAATGACAAATATGTGCTTGAACTTGATTTGGAGCCATTTAATGCAACATTCCCTCGACCAACCCGCTCATCATCAATTGGAAATGGGGTTCAGTTCCTTAACCGTCACTTATCTTCAATTATGTTCCGTAACAAAGAAAGTTTGGAGCCTCTTCTCGATTTCCTTCGTACACACAAACATGATGGACATGTAAGTTTTATTAAGCTCTGGGTTTTACTGAATGAGCATTCCACTTTTGTAGTTATCTTTATGATTTTCTGGCCCTTTAGTTTATTTTGCTGGGCTTTTCTTCACATACAAATTTAGTGTAAGCTATTTTTCAATCTTAGGTTCCTAGTAAATCCTTGCCTAAATTCGTATATGCAGTAATATGAAAATAAGGTTTTGAAATCCTCACATCTTAGGTCTATAATCTTGTGCAGGCAATGATGCTAAATGATAGGATTCAGAGCATACCCAGACTTCAATCTGCTTTAGCAAAGGCAGAGGAATATCTTTCTAAGTTACCGGCAACTACACCATATTTTGACTTTGAATTTGAGTAAGCAACCCATCTATTTTAAAATACTTTGATCTCCACTGATTTAGCAGGATGATTTGTTTGCTTTAGATAATACCCTTTAATCTTCTTTACACTGAGTGCAGCTTACAAGGAATGGGATTTGAGAGAGGGTGGGGTGACACAGCACAACGGGTATCAGAGATGGTTCATCTTCTTTTGGAAATTCTTCAGGCTCCTGATCCATCTACACTGGAAACTTTTCTTGGAAGGATTCCTATGGTGTTCAATGTTGTCATTGTGTCTCCACATGGCTACTTTGGCCAAGCAAATGTTTGGGTTTGCCTGACACTGGTGGGCAGGTATTGCTTACTATTCACTATTTCATGTCCATTTGTTGGTGTTTGATCCTTTCTTCCATTTAGCTGTTTATCTGATAGAATATTAATAGATTTAGTAGTTTACGAATTGTTTTCTCCTGAAACCATGAAAAAGTTATATCTTTTCTTACTGATGTCAGGTTGTTTATATACTGGATCAAGTACGTGCCCTGGAGAATGAGATGCTTCTTAGAATACAAAACCAAGGACTGGATGTAATTCCAAAAATTCTGATTGTAAGTTTGCTCAACTGAAAGTTCTTGTGATATTAGTTGACATAACGTGTCAGTTTATATCACTTCTTGTCTGGTTTAAGGTTACCCGACTGATACCTGATGCAAAAGGGACAACATGCAACCAAAGATTGGAAAGAATCAGTGGCACAGAACACACACATATCTTGCGGGTACCTTTCAGAACTGAGAATGGAATTCTGCGGAAATGGATTTCAAGGTTTGATGTGTGGCCGTACTTGGAGACCTTCGCAGAGGTAAGGATTATGCAGTCAAAAGCATAGGGTTACTTTTTGTGCTCCTGTTTAATCTTCCTTTATTTCTTTTCTGCCCTTGGTCCATTGCTTGAATAATCGAACTTTATCATACATGCTTTTGGGTTTTTATTACCCTTGTTTGTGGGTTATATTAACATAATTAATCCTTTCTCTTGCTGTGGCCATGTTTAGGATGCCTCAAATGAAATAGCTGCTGAGTTGCAGGGTGTTCCAGATCTGATCATTGGAAACTACAGTGATGGAAATCTTGTTGCAACTCTGTTATCTAATAAGCTTGGAATCTCTCAGGTGAACTGTAATTTTTCAATCTATTATTTCAGATACAACACAATTATCAGTGAAATAACAGGGGTCATATATTGATTTTAATTTTTCAAAATGGAATTCTCCTTGTAGTGCAATATTGCTCATGCATTGGAGAAAACAAAGTACCCAGATTCTGATATATATTGGAAAAAACATGAGGACAAGTACCATTTTTCTAGTCAATTCACTGCTGATCTTATTGCAATGAACAATGCTGATTTCATAATCACCAGCACATACCAAGAGATTGCAGGAAGGTTAGATTTCTTCTCTAGTTTTTTGGAACATGAATTCACTATCTTTTACATTTCCAAAAAAAATAATATCTCAATTTGTTCCACTACCTGCAGTTGCATTTGTAATGTAGTAGTATAATATGTAAGTTATATTTATGATTAGCAAGTTCAAATTCTTGTCTGTAACAACTAAGTGGACTGCTACATTTTGCAAAATGTGGTCCTTTATTCTTCTGTCTTGATTCTAGTATGTTTTGCTTATCTTTTTAAAGTTTAATATTGTTCTTTATCTCAGCAAGAATAATGTTGGACAGTATGAGAGCCACACAGCTTTCACACTTCCTGGGCTGTATCGAGTTGTTCATGGGATTGATGTTTTTGATCCCAAGTTTAATATCGTCTCCCCAGGAGCAGATATGTGTATATTTTCCATATTCTGAAAAGGAAAGAAGACTTACTGCTCTACATGGCTCGATTGAAGAACTCTTATATGGGGCTGAACAGAATGAGGAGCATATGTGAGTATCTTTAGTGTTTAAGTAGGGGGATAAAGACTATTGTCTTTTAAATGGCACTTGGAATTATATATGTAGACACACAAACACACGCACACACATTTATATGTATTTGTGTTACATGCCTTCATTTTCCTCAGAAATTGTTTCGATACTTCTTCATGGTGATGCAGTGGAATCTTGAGTGACCGATCAAAGCCTATTGTCTTTTCCATGGCAAGACTTGATAGAGTGAAAAACTTAACTGGCCTTGTTGAGTGTTATGGCAAGAGTACCAAGCTGAGAGAACTGGTAAATCTTGTTGTGGTTGGTGGTTACATAGACGTCAAGAACTCTAGGGATAGAGAAGAGGTCGCAGAGATTGAAAAGATGCATGATCTCGTTAAGAAATACAACTTGAGTGGCCAGTTTCGGTGGATTGCAGCCCAAATGAACCGTGCCCGTAATGGTGAGCTATACCGCTACATTGCAGACACAAAAGGTGTCTTTGTGCAGGTATGAGGTGTAGCTATATGATGGTTTGTTGTGTATTAGAATTCCATGTTTTACCTATCCTTTTATCTGTTGCAGCCTGCTTTTTATGAAGCTTTCGGCCTCACCGTTGTGGAAGCCATGACTTGTGGCCTTCCTACTTTTGCAACATGTCATGGTGGTCCTGCTGAGATCATTGAGCATGGTATCTCCGGGTTCCATATTGATCCCTATCATCAAGATCAAGTGGCTGCACTTCTGATTGACTTCTTTGATCAGTGCCAGAAGCATCCTGGCTACTGGGAAAAGATATCTGAAGCGGGCCTCAAACGAATTTATGAAAGGTTGCATTTCTGGCATGCTTTCAAAAAGACAATCTTTATCAACCTCATTGTAACTAATTTCAAGCTCAATTCTCTAGGTACACTTGGAAGATATATTCTGAGAGGCTGCTCAATTTAGCTGGGGTTTATGGCTTCTGGAAGCATGTGTCTAAGCTTGAGAGGCGAGAGACAAGGCGATATCTGGATATGTTTTACATTCTCAAGTACCGAAATCTGGTTAGTAATGTTATCCTTCCCAGTATTACTCGTACACAAAATGGCACTTGCATTCCATGGATTTCATATGATGATCCATAAATTCAATTTACATTCTATTAGAGCAGGAAAGCCTTGCTATGACCATCCTTCAATAGTTAATAAAAGTTTGCATGTGCCCCGAGGATAAGTCTAGTTCTCTAAGAGGCATAGTTACCTCACGAATCAAAAAGCTAAAACATGTCATAGTTCAATTTTGTTTTGCACTTTGTTTGTTGGTGATTAAATGATTCTGTTGTTTTCTTGAGGAAAAAGTTTCATCTATTTGTACAATATTAGCAGAGCAGAAAGATAATTTTCTTAAAGCCAATTTGCTCATGTACTTTTTTTTCTGATTAGTGCTGGTCCTTTTACATTCCACTCTTGAGTTTAGATAGAGAGAGTTGATTGGAATGATTTGGTAGATCAATATCATTGAAGGAATTATGCGACCTCTTCCATTTTGATCATCTTTCAGGTGAACTCGATCCCGCTGTCTGTTGATGAGCAGCATTGAACCATATGATTACATGTCAATAAAAGAAGCTGTCTGCTTGTTCCCGCTTATTGTGCGTTGCATTTGAATTTCTGATGTTGTCGATCCTGTCCAACTGCTGTGGACAGAACAGAACCATGTTTTAATTTCTCCTCGTTTGGTTTAGTATGTTTCATTGATGTTTGTTGAGTCTGTTGAACTTCATGTTTTAAATTAACTAAGTTGATGCTTTTGGTATTCAATATCTGCACGGAATTCATTTATTAAATTGAAGATATCTACAAGGGGCTTGTAGTAGTTCAAGTAGCTAAGAGCAATTACTCCTGCATTTGATGTCCTAATAAGTTCAATTCCCGTCTCCCCTTGTATAAAAAAATAAAAATAAAAATAAAGATATCTTGTTTAAACGTCACAAAAGAAAGAAGAAACGTATCACGCATCTTCTCTGAATCTATAAAATACAAACAATACCTATCATCCTCAAACGTCATACAATAGTAATCTGTCACATTGCCTTTGTATCTTTACTATTCTATTGATGTTTACTGTGCTGATTTTGTGTCTGTCTCTTAAATGACGTTGTTTTGGATTTTTATTTTTACTCTTATTAAACACCACATCAAACTTTTCTTCATAAAACTTAGGGATTCTCGTTGTAATTTTATTTCTTGTTTTCAAAAGAAGGAAAAAAAAACCTTTTGTTCATAAGATTTAAACTCAATAGCTTCTCCAGTAAAGTGGAAGGTAAATGTCATTAGATAAATTGTTCGATAGATATTAGCTTCAGCGTTAAGAAAATTATTTCAAGCATAGGATAACCCCTTAGAGTCGAAATTTGAGATTTTAAACCTAAACCTAAGCGCTTAAAAGAATCTGAGAGTAATAAAAAGGCTTGACCATGCACATAAGATCCTAAATTTGATTTCATACTTCTCAAATATTGCTTGTGCTAAAAAAACTACGAAATTAGACTTCAAAATGACTTTAAAGATAAGAAACTTAAAAAGGCCAGTGAGAAAGGCATAAATGATTTTAGGTTCAAACTCCTATAATATCCTAACATGTGTGTAAGAAACGTTTACCCAATATTATTTTTATACACACACAAAAAAAGACATCAAAGATAAGAAATTGTTTTTAGTATAAGCAATAGTCTAAATTAGCAACAACAAAAAATTCTTGTAACGGGAATAATATTGTTTTATTATCCCGACCAATAACATATTGACAGGTGGAAAAACTAGTATGCATGTCATTATGTTATTTGCGGAAGATAGCAAAAAAAATTTATTCTCGTTGCATGAGAGTGTTTCTTAAGAAAGAGGAATGAAATTTCTTAATCATAATCACAACTATGATGTTGTGGATATCCGAACATACAAAACTTAAAAGAGACATGAGATGAATGAGATTGCATCGACAGCCGGCTGTCGAAAAGTTGCCCCTTCCAAAGTATTCATATCCACATATCCTCTTTTTGCCACCTATCTGCCAATATTGTGTTTCTCAAGAAAGATGAATGAAATTTCTCAATCAGAAGCACAACTATAATGCTGTATACAAAACTTAAAAGAGACATAAGATGAAAAGAGATTGCGTCGACAGCCGTCTGTCGAAAAGTTGTCCCTTCCAAAGTATTCATTTCCACGTATCCTCTTTTTGCCACACGTTTTTTCCCTATCCGCCAATATTGCCCACTGAAATCCAACACGCCCGGGAAACCCACACACGCCACGCACGTGCAGGATGACCCGCAAAACCTGCGAGTAGGTCTGAATTCCGCACTCGAGAGCGTGCACTCCATTCCCCTCATCCTCGGTTTAATTTTGATTATTTTTTACGAGGCAAATGACACTGAGGGAGGAGACTGAGTCAGGCGTTTAAGAATCGTTCAGCTGCTCAACGCTTATCTCGCCCAGAAACACTACAAGCTGCTACACGAACAAGAACACCAAAACCAATTTAATTTAATTGAAAAAGTTTTCATCTTTTTTCTTTTCTTTCTTTTTTTGTTTGGTAAACCTATCGAAAATATCGAAATGGATCGAAAAGCTCTCGACTTCGACCTCAAGGCCTTGCTTTCCTACGCCTCCGCTAACGTCACTGGCTTTCCTCCCTCTCCCTCTAATTTCACAGTCTCGAAGGTTCTCGCTTTCTCTGTCTATACAAGTATATGTATGTGTGTATGTGTGCGTTTTGGGATTTTGATATTTGGGTTGTGTGTGGAATGATTAGTTTGGGCATGGGCAATCGAATCCGACGTATAAGCTGGAGGTGGGTTCGGGGGCTTCGCTGAAACGCTACGTTTTGAGAAAGAAGCCTGCGGGGAAGTTGCTCCCGTCTGCTCATGCCGTCGAGAGGGAGTTCCAGGTTAATATCTCCATCTCTTCTTCTGTTTTTCTTTTACTCACAATTCGATCTGCTATGTTATTTGATTGCTTAGAAAGAGCAGCAAAAAGACAGTATTTTTTGCATTTTTTTGTCAAAACTTAATCAAAAAATAAAGATTGTAGATAGATACTCTGCTTAGCTGCAAAAAAAGAAAAAAAATGATTTTTTTTTTTCTCTTATTGGCCACAGGTTCTTCAGGCATTGGGTACTCATACACTGGTTCCGGTTCCTAAGGTGTTCTGTTTGTGTACCGACCCAAGCGTGATTGGAACACCCTTTTACATCATGGAGTTTTTGGAAGGACGCATTTTTCTCGACCCCAAGCTACCGGTACCAATTTCCTTTGTCAACTATCATTGATGTGCATATTGGATTGGCATTATAGCTTTAGTGGTGGTTTGCTTGTTTTTTAATCGATTTAAATTTTTCTTCCTTCAGCACTGTCTGTCGATTTTCCGGTGGTAAATAACTCGCTTCTTGGTTGTTTTATGTTTTTTCTCTGTTTGATTAGGGTGTAGCACCCGAGAAGAGGAGGGCACTTTACCAAGCAACTGCAAAAGCTTTAGCATCCCTACATTCTGCTGATGTTGATACCATTGGTCTAGGAAAATATGGGCGCCGTGACAACTATTGTAAACGGCAGGTGCATAAATATTGGTTGCTAAATCGTATACGAATTTACTCAGTATGTGAAAAGGGGTAAAGGGTACCAGTTGAAAACTTAATATGCGTGTATCGGAGCCTAAAATGAGCTTGAAAAGCTATTGATCAAAACTATTTTTCTTATAACTTGGTGGGGCTTATGACTCCTATGTTATTCTTAGGTAGAGAGGTGGGCAAAGCAATATATTGCTTCAACTGGTGAGGGCAAGCCCAAGAGGAATCCAAAGATGTCTGAGCTGATTGATTGGTTAAAGCAGCACATTCCCCTTGAAGATTCTTCAGGAGCTGCAGCAGGCTTAGTTCATGGGGACTTTCGCATTGATAATCTTGTGTTTCATCCTATTGAGGTTGGTACTCCAAGAGTCCATATTGAGTGCTTACATGGAGATAATATCCATGCTTGTGTGTGTTAGAGAACTTTTCGATCAATCTACTTCTGTTCTGGACTCTAAAATCTTTTGAGGATGATGCATTTCAGTCGTCAAAATTTATGTTCAATAACAAAATACAAACTTACGTGTCTCTTTCTCTCTCTCTTCCTTTTATCATGCTATACTTTGGATGGATCTTAGCATCGTTGAAGTTTAGAATATACAGCTTAAAAATCTGAGTGCACGTCTGATGCAAAACTCTTAATGTGCAGGATCGAGTCATTGGCATTCTTGACTGGGAATTGTCTACTCTGGGAAACCAAATGTGTGATGTTGCGTACAGCTCTTTGGTACTTGCCTATTTTCAAACTCAACTCTTTGCCTTGGAGATAGTCTAGATAATTGTATTATCCTGGGATTTCTCACTTTGATTACTACTTTCATTCCTTTGCAGCCTTACAACGTGGACCTTGGGGTTGAACTTGGTGAAGGTTTGGAACAGACTGGGATTCCAGAAGGGATTCCATCTCAGGCACAGTATGTGGCAGAATACTGCTCTTCATCTGTAAGCCAACAGTACATTAACATTGAATGAACAGTGTTGTGTGGGCTCATTTTCGTCGTCATTTACTGTTGATACATAGGTGGTTGTCAAAGACATTAAGAATAGATGGTGTTAATACTGATATTTTCCCATGGTTGATAAAGCTACATAATGAACTTTTGGCCCATATAAGTTAATTAGTAGTGTTTAAGTTTAGGTGTTCAAAATCAGTTTATATAACTGATTGTCATGAATGTTGTCCACCTGATGGTCCCGTACAAGGTTATTGTGGGTGGTTTATTTTGTTTTTGAAAACCTCTGTTCACTGACAGACTTACGCTGGAAATGTTGCATTGCAGGGAAAGCCATGGCCATCTTCAGAGTGGAAGTTCTATATTGCCTTTTCTTTATTTCGTGGAGCATCAATTTATGCAGGAATATATAGTAGATGGATCATGGTATCTTCTGGAGCAATAGTTTAAAATTGAGTGTTCAGTTTAGTGCAAACCCTTTCGCCATGGGATGTTGTGCAATCAAGTTACAGGGAGTTGTATAATGGAGTTAAGTGATAATTGACCATTACAATGCAGGGTAATGCTTCAGGAGGAGAGAGTGCCCAGCATGCAGGGGAAAGAGCTAATTTCATTATAGACTTTGCTTGGGAATTTATTAGACAAGAATCTGTGCTTCCCAAGCATCCTCCATCAGGTAGTTATGCCATCTGAAAATTTTGTTGACCTTGAATTACATGTTTTTGCACATGGATCAAAAAAAATTTCTCTCAGTTTTCAACAATAATTACTTGCAAGATTATTGATATACCAAACTGTTGCCTAAGGTGCTTTTGTTTCTCAAGACTACTTGAAAAGATCTGGACAAGAAAGTGAAGATCAAGTATTTTCAAAAGGGGGAGGGAAGTTTGTCCCCGGTAAAAGGGTTTTGGAATTGAGAAACAGGTTGTTAAAGTTCCTGGAAGATCACATATATCCCATGGAAAAGGAATTCTACAAACTTGCTGAGTCTACCTCACGTTGGACGGTCCATCCAGAGGAGGAGAGGTTAAAGGAGCTAGCAAAGAAAGAAGGCCTATGGAACTTATGGATACCTGTATGTGTCTGATGTTTATTTTTCCCAGTTTGGAATATGCAACATAATTTTTTTTTCCAACGGACATAATTGGCTTCTGCCTTTGTACTTGTGTGAAGTTTGATAGTGCTGCCAGGGCCAGAAAATTGATTTTTGATGGAAGCAATCATCTTCTATCAGAGAATACCTACGATCGCTTATTGGGCGCAGGTCTTTCAAACCTCGAATATGGATATCTTTGTGAGATCATGGGTCGTTCTGTTTGGGCTCCACAAGTGTTCAATTGTGGTGCACCTGACACGGGAAATATGGAGGTAGGAAAGTTTTTACATTACCAACTGCGTATGAATGATCAACCAGTGTTACAACCAAGTGGCTTCCTTTTCTGGAGAAGCATCTCTTGATCCTAATGATATGCAAGATGAACATATGTTTAAATAGTGCAATGGTTTTTGTTTAGTTACTTTTCTGTAAAATATGTCTGTCGTTTTGCGTGGTTTATTGATCTGGTTGTACACTGAACCCCTTACTTTAGGTATTGTTGCGGTATGGGAACAAAGAGCAGCTACTTGAATGGCTTGTTCCTTTGCTTGAGGGAAAAATCAGGTCAGGATTCGCAATGACGGAACCTAGAGTTGCATCCTCTGATGCAACCAATATCGAGTGTTCTATTAAAAGGTGAGTTTATGCAGCATCTGTATTTATGGCAGTGTCCTCTTTTTCAAAATCATTGATTTTAAAAACTGCAGCTTTCAATGAAATTATATAGGAAATGTATCTCAAATCTCAATATTTTCATCCAAGCTTCTTCCGCAAATATTTGCAATCACTGGATGCGTTATATGCCACTTTTTTCAAGTTTCTGTTGGATACATATTTAAGATTGCCTCTGAACTTCATGTACAGACAAGGAGATTCATACATAATCAACGGAATAAAATGGTGGACAAGTGGCGCTATGGATCCGAGGTGCAGACTTCTTATAGTCATGGTTAGTTCTTCTTGTATGCCATTTAATTAATTGTTCAGTTCATTGTTTATATAATTAATGAAGTTTACCTGAATACTATGTAGGGAAAAACCGACTTCAATGCTGCCATGCATAAGCAGCAATCTATGATCTTAGTGGATATCCAAACTCCAGGTGTACACATAAAGAGACCACTTACAGTTTTTGGCTTTGATGATGCACCTCATGGGCATGCAGAAGTACTATTTGAAAATGTATGTGTCCCAGCAAAGAATATTCTACTAGGAGAAGGACGTGGGTTTGAGATTGCACAGGTATTGTTCACTGCTTTCTGAGTAACATATTGCAATTTTGATATCTGTATTTTAAGTTGGATTTGATTCTTACTGCAATTTTTCGTTGAGTACTATATTCTCAACCTCACCAAATGATATTTGAAATTTCTAACGTTAAAAATTCAAGCTTTCTGAGGTAAATCAACAATTTGATTTGGCAACTTGCATGATTAAGGACTTTGATCATCTCCAATGTCCTGTTAGAAGCTTGTAGTATGTGTGTATCACTGCAGGCTGGCCTATAACGCAAAATGAAATATCTTCATTTCTGAGATTTCTTTCTGCAAATTAAGAGATGATTCTTAGTTTTTTGACTTAATTAGTTTTTTTTTCCTTGGTCGAAAGGACTTAATTAGTTTGTTGGTGAGCTCTTGTTGGTTTTGTGACTGGACATATCCTAGGTTCACTGTGCAGTTATCCTCAGTTTGCTTTAGTTATTAAAGCAAACTTAATTTCTGCAGGGTAGACTAGGCCCAGGAAGGTTGCACCATTGCATGAGACTGATGGGAGCTGCTGAGCGTGGCATGCAGATAATGGCTCAAAGGGCTCTTAGTAGAAAAGTTTTTGGGAAGTTGATTGCTGAACAGGGCTCATTTCGTTCAGATATTGCGAAGGTATGATAATTTTACGCCCTTCAAAAGCATAATTGAGAAACTTATGTTTCTATAAATTTATAAACAGAGACTGATTATGCAACCCAGATGATTAAGAACTCCAGGCTTTCCAGCTGTTCAAATGATTTAATAAGTGATCTGAGTTGAATCTTCCTTGCATATCTTCAGATTCATCTCTTACTGCAATAATGTTGGACTCTTTTCAAAATCGGCTTTTTGTGTTGCAGTGTCGAATAGAGCTAGTGAAAACCAGATTGTTGGTTCTGGAGGCAGCTGATCAACTTGATAGACTTGGAAACAAAAAAGCCCGAGGAACTTTAGCAATGGCAAAGGTAGCAGCCCCGAACATGGCGCTGATGGTGCTTGACATGGCAATGCAAGTGCATGGCGCTGCTGGCTTGTCGTCCGACACTTGTCTGGCTCATCTTTGGGCCACGGCAAGAACACTGAGAATAGCAGATGGTCCAGATGAAGTCCACTTGGGTACTATTGCCAAGTTAGAACTTCAGAGAGCTAAACTCTGAAACTCTCAGGACAAAACTCCCACAAAACAAACAAGATCCTTTTTTCCCCAATAGGCAAATACTGCATCAAAACTTACAGTTGATATATAGGATCAATAATGTTGTGACCAATAATGTTACTTTTTTAAAATTTCTAGGATCAATAATCTCATTGATGTCAAAATAAATTTTATGTATAAGGAAAAACAATTCAGAGGAGAAGTCTGCAGCCGATCTATTAATGTACCCTCCGTGTTTCTCTCTTACATCTTTATAGAAATTTCAATCTCATTTTGTTTTATTTGGAATATTTATCCCACTCATTTCTCTTTACACAGTGATATCCAATGTCGTTATGAACTTAAAGAAATTGGAAGGAAATCAGGAATATCCACTGAATATTATACCAGAATAATCTACAATATTCAGATTTTTTTGGTTGTTGGCATGATACAATATTCAGATGTTACATCAACAAAATTATCTACAATTACAATTGTAGGTTTTCTATGATGTTAAGTATGTACTTGTAAATTTCCCAAAATTGGGTATGCACTCAGGGACGGACCTAGGAATTTGATGTCGTAGGGTCATAGTGTAAAAGTGCAATTTTTTTTTAAAGATTAATATAACATTGAAAATGAAACTACAGTACATTCATTCATAATTCATGTAAAAAACAACATTACAAATTACAATTGGCCACGACGAGGTTTCATATTTTGAAAACGAAGCATTATAACTTCATTTTCAATACAATCAAAAACATCCTTCTCAACATAAACAAGTAAGCTATCACTCAACCATTGATCTCCCATTTTGTTCCGAAGTGGACCTTTGATAATATTCATGACGGAAAATGCCCTCTCAACTGAAGCAGTAGCAACTGGTAAAACTAGAGCCAATGTAATAAGCAAATACACATAATTGAATGCTCGATGCATCCTTGTCTCCACCATTTTTTTTGCAAGATCACCAATCCCTTGCAAGTCAAAGAAATCACTACTTGAACACACATAGTGAATATAAAGTTCAAGTTGATCTTCAAGTGCCAAAAGATCCCCATCCGAAAAGTCTTGAGGATAAAATTGAGCAAGACGAAGTAGCTTTTGTTTATCAAAAGCTACAAATGAATCATTCGGACTCAAACATGCCAAACAAATAAGCAACTCAGTATTTACCTCATTAAAACGATCATCTAACTCCGTAAGTTGCTCATCAATGACATAAATAAAGAGCTCCACACGATAATGATGACGATTTGTCTTTATTGGAGCATTACGCCTTGACCTCCCTGGAAGTACGAAGGCATCATCCATGTTAGGAACATCAATATGATGTTTGTCACAAAATGAAGACACCTCTTCAACCAATGCATCAAACCCATTATTCCTCATCCAATGTAGCTTTTCCTTGCATGATTTCACCAAAGCCATTGCATTCACAATTTCTTGATCTTTCTTTTGCAATGCTTGTGACACATCATTTGTGAGTCCCAATATAGCTTTCATTAAGAATAGGTGAAACACAAACTGAAAAGTAAGCATTTCCCTTTGAATCTTATTTGCTTCACCGGCACTATCATTGGGATTATCATCAATAATCATTTGAAGCACATGAATCACAGATGAAAACATAGAAATGATGCTAATAATGGTACCGTAATGTGAGCTGTGTGTCACCGGCACGTTTGAGACTTGTTTCTTGATGCAAACCTCGCCCCGTTATAAGACAATCATTTTCAAAAGCTATCACAAGCTCTTCTTGAAGTTGTGCTCTAAGTGCATCACGCCGCTTACAAGACGCTCCAACATGGTTAACCACACTATTAGTGGTTGTGAAGAAAGAGGCAATATCAATATTCTTCTTTGCTACGGCAACAAGTGCTAGTTGAAGTTGATGAGCAAAGCAATGAACATAGTATGCACAAGGTTGTTCTCTCAAAATCTTTGTTTTGAGGCCATTCAACTCACCTCTCATATTGCTAGCTCCATCATAACCTTGTCCTCGTAACTTAAAAAAGCTCAAACCATTGGAAGAAAAGAATATGTCAATGGCATCCTTTAGTGAACTTGAAGTGGTGTCGGTAACATGTTGAACCCCCACAAACCTTTCAATTACATGCCCTTTGTCGTCCACATAACGCAACACCATAGCCATTTGCTCCTTCACAGAAATATCACGTGTGTTGGTAATTTTTAACAACAATATTTAAACCTTGCAAGTGCACAAATCAAATGATAGTATAGTAAGCAAGCAAGGGTCATTCCCACAGAGATTGTAATCTAGAGAGATGTTTATTAATGTCACGCAACGAAAACACAAGGACTTCCACACACACGCCAACACCAAGGGGGGTTTTTATTTGATTTTGTGAATAAGACAAAATAAGGAAAACAAAACAAAACAGAATTTAAATTAGAGTTTAAGAGAAATTGGTTTATAATCAATCAAGAACAATAGCTAGGACTCACTATCCACCTCTAACCAATCAATCAATTCATAAACAACAATAGATAATCAATTTCTAGCAATCATATGATGACGACACTCACAACAAGATCATGGCATTTGACTCGAGTTGTATGATTCTCTCTTAAGTGCATGTAAAGTGTATGGCATTTACATCAATACGTGTATTCTTAATTGAAATCTAGTATGGCATTTACTCAAATTAACAATCAAGAATCCATTAAGATCAAAGAGAATATGAGTGTCACAAAAACCCTAAAACATGGCATTTGTTATTAGGAATTCAAGAATCGATTTCTCATAACTAGTTCTTAACCCAATTATTCGTTGCAAACAAGAACACATTCAATATGGCAATTGACCTATGTTCTACAACAATTTAATTCCAATACATGCTTCAAAGTTAGCTACTCAAAGAAACAAAATATCAGAATTCACAAAACATAGAGAAACCGAAATCATCACACTTGTAGAAACTGAAAATCCATTCAAACTTGTTTATAGAATTGAAATCATGTTTAGGGCTTCAAGATTAAGCCCTAACTAACAAGAAATTAGTTACTCATGCTCTTGGATGAACTCAAAAATAAATACATAAGAACTGAAACTTAAAAGGAGAAAGGAAAAGAAAGAACTCGTTGGCAGCTTTCTCCTCTTGCGCGGTTGATCCCTTTTGGACGTCAATCTGTATCTGGGGCCTTGGCTGGCCTTTTATATCACTTATATCAGAGTTCTAAAACCCTAAAATTGACTGACAAGTCGTCCAAGAAGTCTTGGTAAACAAGGAATCCAAATAGGAAAGTAAAAATCACAATTCCTAACTCCACAGGGAAATACAGCTCAGCCCAATTGTCACACGATTTGGGGATCTTCGGCCTTGCAGAAAAATCATTAAAAATATATTTTAGAAAGATAAATGTCTTATCTTTCCAACCATATATAGCACGTAACTTGGAAAATTCGGGAAGGCTTCCATTTCTTCACATTCACGTAACATGTATGAAACTGTCTTGTCTGCACGTGGGCTAACTTTACTTGTAATACTGTACCAATTGGCTTGGTAGAAAATTCTAGAAAAATCACAGATTGAACTTCAAGATGTTAGCTTTCATCTCCAATTGGCCTTGCTCTAAAATTCCTCCTAAAAGTTGATTTTTCCTTAAAAACCTTCTAAGAGCGCAGAAAAGCTGAAAATCAGAAAAGTAAAGTAATAAGCCCTTTTTAAATCTAATTCTCCTACAAAACCTAAGTAAAAAGAGTACATAAATGAGTATATTTATGGACTTATCAACGTGCTTCATCCACCAATATAGAAAATAATCTATCTTTTAAACCACTCATGATAACATCAAGTGTTTCCCCGGCATATGCATTGACAATATCTTTTTGAATCTTTGGAGCTACTAACTTGAGATTCCCCGGAGCATTTTCCAACACAACTTCTTTAACTTTCTCATCATTGTCTGCAAGGAATTGCAATAGCTCCAAGTAATTTCCCCTATTGCTTGAAGTGGCACTTTCATCATTTCCACGGAAAGAAAGACCTTGTCTCAATAGAAACTTAATGCACTTGATTGAAGCAATTAAGCATCTTCGATATGCCACACGAGCTTGTTCGGAGTGTTTGCTCACAGCCGTTTCAATATGTGTATTTTGATTCATCAAGTTTGTAGCAGCTTCTCTAGCTTTATTATGAACACTACCAACCGGTCCAACATGCACCTTCATTCTTTCTCTCCCTTTCTTCCAATTCTTAAACCCTGCTCCAGTGAAGGCTTCACTACCCACTTGCTCAAAATTGGATTTAAAGATATAGCAATAAAGACAAAATGCAGCATCTTTAGATACACTATACTCCAACCAATCAAATTCATCAAACCATTGGGGAATGAAGCGTCGATTAATTCCTGATATATTACTTTGTGGGAAAGAATGACCTCTAGGTTGACAAGGTCCTTTTTGTAGATATGCTCTTCGAACCTCATCTCTAATATTAGTATCATACTCAATCATACGAATTCTTAGTCCCGGGTCTGCTTGAAGATTAGCCAAAACCCCATCTAACTCACTTTGTCTTGAACTTGAAGTTCTTGAATTACCCACACTATCCGAACTACCCAATGATGACTTCCTCTTAAAAAATCTTTCCATAATTCTACATAAATTAATCAAAATAATAAGTAAAATCAATTAAAGAGAACACAAAATTTATACCAATTAACCACAACAAATTCATAAATAAAACATCCAATATATCAAAACAATATAATATAATCATACATTCAATTTCAATTCAATTAAAGAGAACACCAAATTTATACTAATTAACCACAACAAATTCATAAATAAGACATCCAATATATCAAAACAATATAATATAATCATACATTCAATTTCAATTCAAGTTATTTAGGTTTAGAGTTAGAATTTACCTTGAATTGTGAAGTGGTTGAAGTGAAGCAAAGCTTTTGGAAGTGGCGGCGCAACTGGAAGCGGCGGCAATGGAGGAGTTGGGGCTTAAAGGCTTGGTGGGGGAGAGGGTTAAAGGTTTGTGGGGGGTGGAGATTGGGGATTTAGGTTTGAGGGTTTAGAAAATGGGGGTTTTGAAGTTGAAAAATCGGGAGAAATGGGGAGGGGCTGTGCATATACAAGCTGATCTCTTTTTTTTTAAAAGACCTGGACCAAAACGACGTCGTTTTGGCCAGGTCTTTTAAAAAAAATTCGGTGCTGTGCTGCTAGACCAAAACGACGCCGTTTTGGCCAGCGCATTTTTAAAAAAAAATTTTCGCTACCAAAACGACGTCGTTTTGGTAACCGGGTTTTTAAAAAAAAATTAGAAGCTGGGCCAAAATGACGCCGTTTTGGCTAGCTTCTTTTGAAAAAAGAACAGATTTCTGTTCATCTTCTTCTTCCTCAATACCTCTGCAACTTCTTCTCCAGCTTTTCATGGGGTCACATAGCAATTCAAATGAGCCTTCTACCTTACTTTCTTGGAGTCCATAGGGTCGTTTGACCCCATTGACCCCACTGTGGGTCCGTCCCTGTATGCACTTGTAAATGACCTTATATGTTGGGGGGTTTATTGTAGTTTACTCAAAAAAATTATCTGCTAAAATTAGGCAAGTTAATCAAAATCTCGATAATCCCTATTTTTTTTCTTTTTTCTTTTTTATTTATTTATAAAAATGATAGTATTTTATTGATAAGAGTAACAGAATCAAGTACAAAGCCACTATAGTGCCAAATATAGATAATCCCGATTATCACAATAAATAATGCTATTTAGACACACAAGATAGCATACACACATGTAACATGATTCAATATAATATCCCAATTACTTTGACAAAAAAATAATATATATATATATATATATATCCCAATTATCTTGTCCGACGATTCAATAAATAAAAAATAAAAAAATTCTTGTCCGACGTGATTAGCTAGCTACATGTATAGTAATACTTTCTATAGTAACTGCATGGCAATCCACGATTGAAGGAGAGTCATAACTAAATATTACCGCTCACTAATTGAGCAAAAAGAGGAAAACCCAAAACAAAACATAAAATTAGCCATTAATCTTCCCCCAATTTATGTAATTAAGTCACTTACTAGTAGCTTAATACGATATTAGTATGTCTTAATTTGAATAGTCCCAAATTTAGGGAATATGATTAACGACCCTCTATTTTGTCTTGACTCGGGACTGGGTGATCTCCAACCTTACCATCTCCTAACAGAATAAACTGTCATTCAGAAAATTTAGGTTTGTGTCTTCCCTATAAATTCCATGCCATTTCCCCAGACCAAACCAGACCAGAGCCTCAGGGGCACCAAAAACCATCCTCCAACAAACGAAGCCCCAACAGCGCTCTGTAGCTCACTGGAGAAAGAAAAAAACAATTATAAAAAAAGAAAGCGTACATTACTTTCTTCTCCAATTAATTCATTTTCTTTCTCATTCACACGTGTGTTACCTAGCGTTGTTGTAGTTGTTTGTTTTATTAATTTAATCATCCAAGATGGCTGCTGATGCAAGGAAGAAGAAGATCGCCGCCATCATCGTGTTTTCTGTTATTGGGGTGGCGATGATAGTGGCGGTGGCGGTGGGTGTCACATGCAGCAGAAAAAAGCGCGAAACAGAACAAAGGAACAGCCTCGTCCAAAAAGGCCATTGAGACTATTTGCCAAACCACCAGCTACAAAGAAACCTGCCAGAGCAGCCTCGAGAAAGCGGCCGGCGACACCTCCGACCCGAAAGAGCTGATCAAGGCCGGGTTCCAGGTGGCAGCGGACAAGCTAAACGAGGTCATCCAGAACTCCAACACCTTGAAAGATCTTGCCAAGGATCCCATGGCCAGCCAGGCTCTGGACGTCTGCAAGGAAATGCTGGATACCTCCACTGAGGATCTCCTAGCTGCCGTGGATAAAATGGGGCCGTTCGATGCCAGCAAGATGAATGAATATGTTGAGGACCTCAAAGTGTGGCTGAGCGCCGCCGTCAACCACCAGCAAACTTGCCTGGACGCGTTTGAGGGCACCAAGGGTGAGGCCGGGGAGAAAATGAAGGGGTTTTTGAAGACCGCGCAAGAACTCACAAGCAATGGACTTGCCATGGTCTCTGAAATCTCTTCACTGTTGGGATCCCTCAATTCAAACTCCCACCGCCGCAGACTCCTCGGTTCTTCGTCAGGTGGCCAGAGTAAGAGGGTTTATAAGCCGCTGCCGTCTTGGATCGGTGCTCGCAAGCTGGATCTCTTGACTGCCACTCCGCAGAGTCTGAAGCCCAACGTGGTTGTGGCTCAGGATGGGACTGGCAAGTACAAGAGCATCAATGAAGCTTTGAAGGAGGTGCCAAAGAAGAGCGCCCAGCCCTTTGTGATTTATATTAAGGAGGGAGTTTACAAAGAGTATGTCATCGTTGATAAGGAGATGACCAATGTCGTCATGATTGGTGATGGTCCTACCAAGACAAGGATCTCCGGTAGCAAAAACTATGCAGATGGTACCACAACTATGTATACTGCAACATTTGGTACGTAACACCTAACACCCAACATATTTATTCACTAAATATGTTCGCTAAAATAATGTACGTCAGTCACAAATTATTGACACGTCATTTGGTAAATAAAATTAGCAGTACTCATTAGTTAATTTATTTTGATTATTTACATATCCTAATTCTAACTCATTCATTTACTGCATTCTTGCAGCCGCAGTTGGAGACTACTTCGTTGCCAAGGGCATAGGATTTGAGAACACAGCAGGCGCCGCAAAGCACCAGGCCGTGGCACTGCGTGTGCAATCAGACTTTTCCATCTTCTACAACTGCTACATTGACGCGTACCAAGACACCCTCTACACCCAAACCTACCGGCAATACTACCGTGACTGCACCATCTCCGGAACAGTGGACTTCATCTTCGGAGATGGGGTGGCGATGTTCCAAAACTGCAGGATGGTGGTTAGAAAGCCAGGGGAATCACAGTCTTGCATGGTCACGGCCCAAGGCAGGACCGATAAGAATGAGATCACAGCCATTGTCCTCCAAAACTGCACCATCACTGGTGAGCCAGACTACATGGCTGTAAAGGACAAAAACAAGGCCTACTTGGGGAGGCCATGGAAGGGCTTTGCAAGGGTGGTGGTGATACAGTCGCAGATTGACGATGCGATTGCGCCCGAAGGATGGACAGAATGGACTGGTGAGAAATTTCACACTAGTTGCTTTGTGGCTGAGTCCGGCAACAGGGGTGCTGGGGCTGACATGTCCAAGAGGGTCAAATGGCAAACCCTAAAGAAGCTTACTCCAGAACAAGCTGCGGCTTTCACCCCTGCGAGGTTGTTTGAGGGTGATAAATGGGTCAAACCCAGTGGGGTTCCTTATGTTTCTGGCATGATGTCTGTGTAGATCCCCAGATGAAAAAATCTTACAACACCAATTCTTTTCTTAGGAAAAGAAAAACAATTTTACTTCACAGCTTGATTCTGTGTCTTGTGAAGTTGTGATCTTGTGGGATGCCTTCCCTTTGTTTATGAATATCAATATATATCACACATTTTTATCAAGCTAGTTGTACCCATTAACAATTTTGTTTAGACATTTTTGTGAATTTGAACTGCTACGTACATACGGATGAGATAATTATAACAAGATGAACTCCTATGCTCCGGAGGTTTAAATTTAGCCCATTTGTTGTCTCAGGTCACTGGAGATGGTTATTTCCATATCTGCCGCTAAGCTATCTCTTGATTCGAAGAGCTCCCAGATTTTCTTACAAATGTTCTATTTGAGAATTGTAACAAGTAGTTTTTTGGGATATAATCCCATCTTTTATGCTTGTCTCATTTTCTCTAATAAATAAAATCATATTGCCTTCTCTCAACAAAAAAATAAAAAAAATAAAAAAATTGCCGTTTTAAACAATCATTAGAACCCAACCTAAGGGTTGAATATGATTTCTGGATATTAGCTGGGATGCTTCATATTGACCGAGATTCTTACGTTTTCTTGTGGCAATAATTCCTCATGTATTTCTGCCCCACATCCAAAAGATAACTCATCAAATTTGTTAGTTATCGTCTGACTTGTGTAAACTCGCAAATAACACGACTTTCTAATTTCAAAGTTGGGTTAAGAAATCAAATAAAAGAAGGAAAATTTATAAAACTTTATCTATATATGTATCACCCAGCTGATTGAGACAAACATAAAATGCATTGTCCTACTGAGAGGCGATTTGTAAGTAATTTATTAAATAGTAATACCATGGTCGCACATATAGTACGTACATACAATTTACAAACATTCATGACTACCTTTGCAAACTAGAGAAGCCTTCTCCTTTCTTGAGGGTTATAGGCAACTGTTGGCAACGATATTATCCGTTGCTAATGGCAAAATTTGGTATAGTATTATTATAAGCTCTTGTCAAATTTTGTACGTAAGTTTTTGCCTATTCGAATTTAGAATCCTGGATCCGCCACTAGTAAAGACCAATATAACCATACTTAGGTCTACGTTGGCACGATATTGTTCTATGGAAGCAGGCATGCATTTTTCTCATAAGCAAGCATCATATGTATAGTTCTATATGTTTATGAAAATGAATTGATTGGAAAGCTATAGTTGGATTGCCTTTATATATTTAAAGCATTAGTTTTTTAAATAAACACTGATGCTAAAGTTCCTTATGTGTGCCAAAAAAACGTTGATCCCGGATGCCTAAATCTACATTGGCATCAATAGTTTTAATAGTTCCAATGCTAAATACGGTTTATAGCATTAAAATTTTATATTACACTGATGAATTTTTCGACTTATAACATTACAAAAACCAATAAAGTTGATGCTACTTCTAGTTATAGACATCAGTTATCTTATGAGTGATGTTGTTTTAAATTTTGAACTTTAGTTGTTTATGCAAAATTAAGGTTGTTATGAACAATATCATGGTGTGTTGCCTATTGTATATCAAAAAACATATATAAATATATCCAGCAGTTTCATAAATCACAATTTTTCCAACCCCACATATGACAACAATTTTTGCAATTTACATATAACTTATCAACCTTGAGTTTGAGTACAAAAGAGAAATGTAGTATAACAAACCAAATAAATATAAATTAAAATAAATAACCCTTTATTAAAATTATCATAATCAATTCCAACCAAATACAAGAGGGAGTGCCTGTTTGGCATTACTTATTTGGGGCTATAAGTGATTATTTTGAAATTTTTGAAAGCCCAACCTGTTTGGTAAAAGATAATAAAATCACTTATTTTGAATAATTGCTGTGAGAGAAAGTAATTAGGGAAAGCAGGTGATGAAATGCTTTTATTTTTTAATTATGCAGGTATCAGTTTTGAAGAGGTGCTGGGTTTTATGAAACTTTCAAAATTTCAAAAATAACCCCGTTTTTACCAACCACACTTCTAACAAAAAGTTTACCAAATGTCAAACTGTTTTATTTCACAACTAATTTCTCTCACAGGAAATCTGACGGTGATTATTTTTACAGTACAACAACGCCAAACTGACCCGGAGTCTGAAAATATTTACGAGGGAGCGTGAAAAATATTATTTGAGAATTAGGACTGCAGTAAAGAAACCAAATAGAAAATTGAAATTTAGGTGTAAAGACGTAGACAAGTCGGGAATATGAATAATCATTTCATATTGGATAGGTATTGCTATTTTATGACATGAAAAATTGTGAAAGTACGTTGAATTTGTATCATGTGGGGACCTGAGAAGCTTTTTGGGAGCTGAAGCTCATGCCTACTTTGCCTACCTTGCCTACCTAGTGCCTACCTTACATATGCGTTTTTTTATTTTTGGAAAATTTTTGGGTAGACAACTGCCTACCTTGCCCTTGGCTTAGGACCACCACCTTAGTCCCCTGTGAAGTCTGCTTCGGAATTCGGGAATGTAGCAAGCCAACTGTCATTAACCAACACTATGTCAAGCTTCCTGGCAATAATCTGCTCACTATCTTTGCGGTTGGACCAAGTATAGCGTCACCTACTAATGTAGTAGATAACGAGTGAGCCTTAGAGATCATGAAGGTGTTTATAGCACCAAGCAAACTCAGAAAGTTTAATTGCGTATCAACTCATGTATGCGACTAACATACAAAATGTATACCTCTATTAGAGATGTGGTACACAATGCAGTATATAAATATAGTAAATTTAGTATTATCGAATAATCTAAGTCTAGAATTATTAAGAATGATATAAATAAAATAGTAAATTTGGCTTACACCCTTTAAATTCAATTTGTCATACCTAAAACCCTTCACTTTTTGTTCCTATAAATAATACCCAATTTGTATAAGTAAAAACCCATGACTAGGATCCAACTCAGCAAGTTACCTAATTAAGCATAAAATCTGATTTATTGTACTTTTCAAATTCCAAAAATACCCCCAACTAAGCCATTATTGCATTTTGTATATTAATGTAGGAATCAATATGGAAACAGTTTTTAATTGGATTGTATATAATGACAGATGTTGAATTTGGAAATATCTCCAAATTGTTGTAATAGATGTAGGAATTAATTTTGGAACATTTAAAAAAAAATTTAACAATAAATTCAAATTTGGGTAATTGGTTTGTTTAATAAAATGTTTATGTTATTTTCTTTTTATGAATTATACATGACTAATAATCCACTTTATAATTGTTTATGAATAAAACTGTACATACTAATTATGTTGAAAAAATAATGTACCTATTTGTTTTATGAAAAATATAATTTACCTAGTATGAAAAGTGTACATAATTATCTATTCCAATATACCTACATTAATTTTAATGTACTTACAATTAGGATTTAGGTATTATATGTCATCCAATGTACCTACCATTTGAATAATATACCTACTACGAATAAAGTACCTATTATTTATCTAAATAATGTACCTATTTTTTACTATAAATAATATAGCCTTTTTTCTCTGAATAAAGTACCTATTATTTGTTTTATCAAACGTAATTTTTTTAAATGAACCTATTTTCTCTCTCCAAATAACTTACCAATTTTTTTCCTCTAATAATGTACCTATTTTTCCTCTTCAAATAATGTACCTATATTTTATATAAATTATTGTGTACCTATTTTTAATTATGAAAAATATACGCAATTACAAAGTAACTGACTTTTTTTTTGGGGTAAATAATATACCTATATTTTATATGTATATATTTATATTATATTTTTCATAGGTACATTATTGGATATGTAATTTACAGATTTTTTTTTGTTTGCAATTTTAGGGGGCGAGATGTGAGAGGGAATGACAACTAAAAGAAATGGGGTGATTGATATGCTATTAATAGGGAGTATATTAATTACAATTATGGCAGTTAATGAAATGCTTGAAATAAATTATAAATAAAATATGAAGTTTAGTGGCAACGATGTAAAAACATAGAAATACTACGACCTCTTATATCCTACTGGTCATTTAAATTTGAATTTGGGTTTTCAACGAAGTTATATAGATAGATGGGTTTGTGTCTAGGGGATATCAGTTGTATGGGCTTATATTGGAGTCTCTCTAAATAAAATAAAATAAATTAGTTGGAAATGGTTAAGTAATTAAAAAATGTGATTCGATAGAATATCCCAAACTTACCCTTTGACTAGCTAATTAATAAAGTATAGCTAAATATAAACATTCTAGCCATGCACTGATAGTCCATGATTAAAGGGAGCCACTTTTACGCACTACCTCTGTAGGTGGAGATAGTTTTCTAAGAATGCAAACTTGGCTTACATGTAACATGTTCAAATTTGGATCATATCCAAATTTAGAAAACATGATTACGACCTCTATTTTGTCTTGACTCAACATTCGTCATCTCCCACCTTAACATTTTCTAACGGAATTAACTGTCATTCAGAAATTTTGGATGGTGTCTTCCCTATAAATTCCATGCCTTTTCCCCATACCAAACCAGAACAGAGCCTTGGGGGCATCCGAGTCCTTCTTCCAATAAGCGAAGCCCCGACAAAGCTCTGTAGCTCACCGGAAAAGGGAAAAAATTATAAAAAAAAGAAAGAAAAACAAGAACACAATCCCAGTTTTGATTACTTCTTTCTTCTCCAATTAATTCTTTTTCTTTCTCGAAACACACGTGCGTTACTAGCGTTGTTGATATAGTATTAATTTAGCTTAAATCATCGAAGATGGATGCCAAGAAGAAGAAGATGATCATCATCGGTGTGGTTGTTTTGCTTGTAGTGGTGATTGCCGTGGGGGTGACGGTGGGTATCATGAAATCTAAAGCCAAAAAACCCGCCGCCACCAAGCCCGCCAAGTCGAAAAAGGCCATTGAGGCGATTTGCCAGCCGACCAGCTACAAAGAAACCTGCCAGAGCAGCCTCGAGAAGGTGGCCGGTGACACCACCGACCCTAAAGAGCTGGTCAAGGCCGGGTTCCAGGTGGCTGCGGACAAGGTGAACGAGGTGATCCAGAACTCGGACACCTTGAAAGATCTGGCAAAGGATCCCATGGCTAGCCAGGCTCTGGACGTCTGCAAGGAACTGTTGAACACCGCCGTTGAGGATCTCCTCGGCGCTGTCGATAAGATGGGGCCTTTCGAGATTAGCAAGGTCGATGATTATCTGGAAGATCTGAAAGTGTGGCTGAGCGCGGCCGTCAATCACCAGGCGACTTGCGTAGATGCGTTTAAGGACACCAAGGGCGAGGCCGGGGACAAAATGAAGGGCTTTTTGAAGACAGCACAAGAACTCACAAGTAATGGGCTTGCCATGGCCACCCAAATCTCCTCCCTCTTGGGATCTCTCAACTTAAACTCTCACCGTAGACTCCTCTCAGCGGAGAAGAGCAAGAGGAACTACCAGGCAGTGCCTTCATGGATGGGTGCCCGCCAGCTGCAGCTCTTGACTGCCACCCCACAGAACCTGAAGCCCAACGTCGTTGTGGCTCAGGATGGGACTGGCAAGTACAAGACCATCACGGAGGCTTTGAAGGAGGTCCCGAAGAAGAGCAATGAGACCTTTGTGATCTACATTAAGGAGGGAGTTTACAAAGAGCAAATCATCATTGATAGACTGATGACCAATGTCTTCATGATTGGTGATGGCCCTACCAAGACAAAGATCTCCGGTAACAAAAACAAGGCAGATGGCACGGCAACTATGCACACTGCAACATTCGGTACGTAACACGCACTTAATAACTAACATGACTATTCATCAAATATTAATCAACCATGACACATCATTTGGTGAATAAAATTAGTAAACACATTTGATGCCCTGGCTAGCAGTATTCATTGATTAAATAATTGTTTTTGGTAATTGATTTAGGATGGAAGTAACTGACACATTAATTGTATATTTCCTAATTCTAACTCATTTTCTTGTTTATTGCGTCCTTGCAGCCGCAGTTGGAGACTATTTCGTTGCCAAGGACATAAGATTTGAGAACACAGCAGGGCACATCAAGCACCAGGCCGTGGCACTGCGTGTGCAATCTGACTTTTCCATCTTCTATAACTGCCATATGGACGCGTACCAAGACACCCTCTACACCCAAACCTACCGGCAATACTACCGGGACTGCACCATCACCGGGACCGTAGACTTCATCTTTGGGGATGGCGTGGCGCTGTTCCAAAACTGCAAGATGTTGGTGAGAAAGCCAGGAGATTCACAGTCTTGCATGGTGACAGCCCAAGGCAGGACCGACAAGAACGAGATCACAGCCATAGTCCTCCAAAACTGCACCATCACTGGTGAGCCAGAGTACATGGCTGTAAAGGACAAGAACAAGGCATACTTGGGAAGGCCATGGAAGGACTTTGCAAGGGTGGTGGTGATGCAATCACAGATTGATGAGGCCATTCAGCCTGAAGGGTGGACAGAATGGACTGGTTCCATGTTTCACAACACTTGCTTTCTTGGTGAGTACGGCAACAAGGGTCCTAGGGCTGACATGGCGCAAAGGGTCAAATGGCCAAGCCTCAAGAAGCTTACTGCCGACCAAGCTGCCACTTTCACCCCTGCCAAGCTCTTTGAGGGTGATCGGTGGATCAAGCCCAGCGGAGTTCCTTATGTTTCTGGCATGGTGTCTGCGTAGATCACAAATGAAAATCTTAAAACAATTCTATTTTGGTCTGAAGAAAAAAAATATCACTTCATAGTTTGATTGATTTTGTATCTTGTGATCTTGTGGAATTCTATTCCCTTTCATTTTTCCTACACATGCATACCCATTGAATGGTGATAGAGATTTTTTAATACAAAAATACTAGTCATACCACATTTATATACCACCTCTTTAAAAAAAGAGTAATGCTACACTTACCATATTTATATCCCACATTTTTATACCACTTTATGTGGCAGATGAAGTGGACAATCACATCAATTAAAAAGTGTCAATAAATCATAAAAGAGAAGAAAACTTTAAACTAATTTTAATTGATGTGTTGTCCACCTCATCTGCCACATAATGTGATATGAGAATGTGGTATACAAATGTGGTAAGAGTAGCATTATTCTTAAAAAAAGGTGAGCTATTGGTGGGTTTCACCTCTATTAAAAAGGTGGTATACAAATGTGGTATGCATAGCATTGCTCTTTTGAATATAAGAGCGGTTCCAGCAACTCGGGCTGGCCAGGGCAGCTGCTGGGGCCCACAAAACCAGGCCAGCTCTCAGGCAAGAATAGCCCTAGTTCAAGCTCGGGTTTCGCTGACGTCAACCAAAAAAAAATCCAAAAAAAATTCAGATTTAAAAAATAAATAAATACTTAGTCATAGTTTTCACTTCCCACACCAAAACTCTATACAAATTTCTCTCCTCATATCTCATGTGAATAGTTGTTGCCATGACAATTGGTGGAAACACCACAACCTTTTGCAAGGGCAGCCACTATTCACATGAATAGTAGCTGCCCTAGCCCCCCCTTGCCATGGCAAAGGGCAAACTACTAGAAGTGCTCTAATGGTGATCGAGGTAGCGTGGAGATAAAAAGGAAAGAAATTAAATAACTAGTAGTGATAACAATTAATGACAATAATATATATATATATATATATATCCACCTCACAACCCCAAAGATTTAGAGTGTTGCTAAACAAGCTATAAAGTTAACTGAGTATACCCTATGATCTAAGTACACTATAATATTTAAATCAAAATGTAAAATTAACTAAGTACACCCTATTTAACTACCAAAAATACCCCTAATGTACACCATAATACACTCTATCACACCTTAATACCAATCCTAAACCAAATTTCTCTTTTTACATGAATTTGTACCCTCAAGTTCAGATATTTTAGAAAGAAAAGGTTGAAAACTTCAACTGGGAAAACATCTAAAGGTTTACTTTGCAAATCTAACACATTAAGCATTGTAAAGCCTGTGGGGAAGAACCTCTGCAGTGATGGCTTCTCAGCAACTCTGAACATAAAGAGGGAACGCATTTGAGAAACAGACATGTATTGTTGTACATATTTCAGTGTGTTATGTATTGACAGGCACCAGACTTTGTCTGGCCATGGCATATTGTACTCTTTAGCAATTGTGGCAAAGTTTTGATCTATTCTCTTGGAGGTGATAATTTCCCGCAAAAGGTCATGAATTTGAAACTTTTTTACCCTTCCTTCAGGTGTTACCTTTGTCAGTGCTCGTTGCGTTGTTCTTTGTGGGCATCAAGCAATACGAAAGCTTCTCTACATTTGATTAAGGTTGAATATGGTGAATATGGTATACTTATTAAAATTATATTTGTTTCACAATTCAATATATATTTTTCATCATTTTATATTAGGATAAATTAATAATTCAATATAAATAGTTTGATAATAAGGTGTTGATTTTATGATTCGTTTAGTAGCACACAAAATTCGCTTTTTTAACAATAATCTTTGGGGGTGCTTAACATAACAGGACAAATAGAAGCCCATGTTTCGTCCAATAAAAACAAATAGAAGCCCATGATGTTATAAAGGTATTGTTTGGGTCTATTTTTGCCCAACCTAATAAATTAGGGAATTGGGCCAATTCGGATGGAAAAATAAGTGGCATGCATCCATTAAATCACACACCTAAATTCTTTGCTTGGCGTTGGCGATATCCCCACCTATTTCTTTCTGACAAGGAAACTCTCCCAACCGCTCTACAAACTCGCCAAATGGCAACTCTCAATCTCAAATTGTTTCCCACCCGAACTCTGGGGTTTAAGTTTTCCTCCCAGAAGAGCAATAACAGCAACCGCTCAGCTGACCGTTGGAATGAACACAACCGAGAAGAAGATAGTCGATAGACTCTCGGCAGCACGTTCGCCATTTTGGCTTTGGGAACCACCTTGGAGTCGCGGGCGGATGGGTTCACGATAAGGTTCGTATGTATTGATAAATTGGTTCCAGAGAAACAGAGAATTTTTGCTTCGAATTTTAGGTACTTAAATGTAAAGTGTGTTTTGAATTTTGCAGCTTGTGTTGTGGCACAGCAAAGAGGATGCAAAGAGAAGGGGATTTCTCCATTAGCAGGTATTTTCTTCCTCGAGAATTTGATGTAAATGAGATAATGTCATGATGGGCAAATGAGAACCAGAGGTGTGCTCTGTTGGTATCTAAACGGGAATCAATAAATCTATGTTTCTCTCTCTACAATGTATACACACACACAGACACTTCCTTTCCCAAGTTCTAGCCTTTTTATTCCCAGACAAATCTCACTCCATTCTCCCCTACCATATCGATTCGGTCGAAAATATCATGAATGTTTTGCAGCTTAAATCTGGAGGATCACTAGTTGGAGAATGGATAAACATTACAAATCACATTCATTAGTTCTAAGGGAAGACACAACAGCTAGCTACTAACTCCCGATGCTGACTTTGTCAACTCCTGTTATGACCAAGACAAATCCGTGTCTTAGTATAAGTTGTGGTCTTCTAATCACATCTGGTTTGGAGGAGCTCTAATTGATCAGGAAGTATTAATCCTAATTCCAGTAGGATAATCAATCAAACAGTGCGTTTACATTGAGATAGGAGTATCTTAAGTATTCCTACTTCTATATGGATTAAAAACATCCTATTCCTAAGCAAACAGAATCTCTGATCAAGGTTAGTAATTGAGATTCAAAGACTTGAAATAACTTTCAATGGCATGATTAAGTAGAGAATTTCTCATACGTGTCTTGCTCCTCTTGATCTGGACGAGCTTGTCAAACACACACCATGGAAAGCTTAGGAAATGATCTCTTTCCATTCCCTTGTTGCCGCAACCCCAGTAACGAGGATGATATGTAACATGATACCAAGCCGATGCTTTTGCTGCATGTTCATCATTGATATCAGGGTTCGTATCGGACAGCATATCACTTCCCAGCTTCTCATCAAACCAGTTCCTAGCTTCCTTTTTCAATGCCTTTAGAGCGTAATGAATTGACTCCAAGTCGTTTTCCCCATTGAATCTTTTTGATACTGTAGTGATGCTCCCAGTTAGTATTTCGGCTTCAGTTTTGAAACCATAGTCATCTATCAGGTTTCCAAGCTTGTAGTCATATTCCCTTTTGTAATTGATGGCATCTTTGACGTAGTTTTCAAATCCATCTACCTCCATGTCAGGGTCATAGAACTTCAAAGCCACTTCCATAGTGAAGGCTTTAATCGTGGCCGAGTTTGAAGGTGAATCTGATGCAAGCTCAAGATCTTTCACCTGTCGGAAAAGCTGCCCAATCACACGCTTGGACTCGTAGGTGGGTTTGTCAACCTTTTCCATAAAATCAGGGAATTCATGGACACGAAGGTGGCTTGGCACTTTCACTACCACACCAGTTTTCGGAGAGTCGACAGCATGCGAATTGAGATGGGCGAGCTCGATACATGAAGCACTGCTAGCCTTCCAGTGCTCTCTATCTGCAAAGACAATATGCGCATTACAAATTATCCCCAAGTTGTCGTTCACTATGAAGTTGGTAAAGGATTCCTCAACCTCCTGTAACAAACACAAGAGAACACCATGAATGAGGCAGAGACAAGATTCGACAAGCGAAGAAGTATATATGTTTCTAATATCATTGACTACATTTTAGTTGATGAATTTGAGAAATACCTCCATTGTCACATCATGATCCAACTGACAAAGTAAAAATCTCCATCTAAATCACTTCCCGAGCATTCATTGGGATGAGGTCTGATACGTTACAATGAAAGAAATATAGTCAGTACGTAAATAGTTTGAAGGCAGCAAATTATTGTCAAACAGATCTTCATCAACTAAAAGATTCGACAAAGTTACTTACCTCTTTCCTTTCTGCGGGAAAACTACACAATCCACCATGTGGTGCAATGCCGGCACGTTCACAGCCTCAAGAACGCGAACATCCCCTGGGTGTAAACAGGGGTTTTTGGCTACCACTACTTTTCCCCTAACAATAAAATTGTCATCACTTGAAGTATCGCTCCTATTGCAACCAAAGATCTTCCGGCGAGAACATTGCACATATACTTGACCATATTCCAATGTCCGGGTTTCATCTAGACATCCCATCAAGGATCTTCCATCTGGAACAAATATCCGTGTCTTGCTCCGCAGTTCAACAAGCTTGGATGCACAGAATGCTTGTAGCATCAATGACAGAAATGGTTCTGCATCTGGCTTATAACCGCACACAAGCATTTCCTTCAAAGCGTTGGTGAAGACTCCCTGGAATATGATTTCAAGTGCTTCCTGCGCTCTTAACGGGTCAGCCAAAACACCTTCCAGCTGTTTCAAAGCCTGTTTTTGCTTTTTCACAAAAACATGATTGGGGACTCCGAGGGTGGACAGAAGGGTGATCACTTGACGGTTAAGGAAACAAGCTTGGTACCTGCTCCATGCTAGAACATCGAGTGTTGCGTTGTTGGATTGGTACTTGCACATGCTATCTCGCAGCGCCAACTTCTTTGACAATGTAGGATCAACTGCCACAACACCTTTATAGCCGCCGTATCGAATTTGAAAGGCAGATGGAGTAGTACTTTTGCCGCACTTGATTGCCACTCTTCCAGCAAACTCAGCAGATATCTTCCCAATTCCATCAGAGAAACAATATTTGACTCCACCTCTTTCAATTTCGACATCGGGAATGAGTTCGATTTCATCCCTATCAACATCAAAAGTCTTCCAGGAAGAGCTGAAAGCCTGACCTAACCTGGCAGCATATTTTGACGCATTTCTGATGTCACTAAAATCACCCATCCAGTTTCTGATGTCTTGTGCAGTCACCTCACTTGTTGATGCAAACATCCACACAGAATGCTCTCGCAGTTGACTCGCCGAATGGGCAAGAAACTCAAACTTCTTTTGACCAATGACTATGCCATTTCTTAGAGTAGAAAGTATCCTGTCATAAACTCCAGTTCTCCTTTCCTCTTCTGTAGAAGTTGTACAATTCGTAAGCGGGCATAAAGCTCCTGAATGTATCAGACCCATGTCCTCGTCCACGAAAGAAACACGAAGAAAATTATCGACATGTTCAGAATAATTTCGTAAAACACGGTTGGATAGATTGGCCTCTGGACCACAGAAATAAACTTTAGTCGGTGTTACTTGAGCCCTGTGCACATACACCATCCCATCATCTAAAGAAATAGCAGGCGACTGAGGAATTCGCTTGCATGCCATGTACTCTCTGTACTGCTCAGTAAGCCAACTCACAGGCTCATAGCAGCACCCTTTTAACCGAAACAGCTTGTCCAGGGCACACTCTATGTATTCAATTCTTATTCTACTAGGATCAACTAGCTTATAAAAATTGACATCAAGTGCTTTCCCAGGAACACATCCATGCTGAACCAAGGAATTTATCTTAAACAGGATTTTGTATGGCAAGTTAATGCCCATGGGTGGACCTACAATAGGAACAAGATCTGAATTGCAGGAGAAAGTGTTGCCTTCCTCCAGGATGAACCGTTCTTCATTTTCTTTATAATCAACAAAACACTTGCGCAGATTTGGAAGCTCACACCTAGGCGGAAGTTCCAAGCATACAGCAGAAGATTGCCCAATGCAGCATGAAGGAGTGAAATCAACTTCTCGAACCCAGCGATTTTGAGAATCTTTCTTGAAAATCAGAGGGGCACCAAGTAACTAGCAAGAGGAAGAAGAAAGGAGGAGCAAAATGTTAGTCCTTTCACCCAATTCCACACATAATATAATAATTCTGCAGTTCTATAAGGAACAGGACAGTTTGTTTCAACAGCATTCGAATTCTCTGCGTCGAAACAATGAAGTCATAATGTTTCAGCAACTGACATGAGATCAGATTATCATGCAGGAACTAGTGAATGCAAGACAATCTTATTCAAATATCTACTGGAATTGGTAAAAGCCACGGCTTCTACCTCAATAATAAAAATGATGATAGGATAACTTTCATGCTTCTTGATGTGGGAACGAACAGGATTGAATTAAGTTTACATATTAATCAACTAAAGAACTTTGATCACTAGCTACATTTAGAATTTACTATTTGTATATTTCATGGCAAAATGTAAAGTAATGAGTCACAAATCTTGTAGTTTAACTGGCAAACCTGGATTAGAAGAAACTTTGGAAATTGGCCCCGTGGATGATTTAGCTCAATCTGACTAATACTTTCAGAGGAGATCTCTAGCTTGTATTCAACATCATCAAAAGAAAACAATAGGTAGATATTCTTAAATGCTGTTCCGAATTTCACTGAAACATCCGATGTTGTCCAAAGCACAGAAAACCGTTCCTCAGAAGTCAGGAAGCCCGAGTGCAGCTTCACAAGTTCCATGTTATGTTCAAAGTTTTCAAGCTTCTGCTTTCTAGCTTTCAGATAAGAATCCCAGTACCACAGAAGTCGATCATCGGCTAATGGAATTATCACGTCAGCATATTCTGCATGTGTGAATTCAACTATGGCAGATGCTCTTGATTTTCCATCTTTAGGCGGAAGAATCTGTACATCAGAAACAGTTGCTTTCCCAGTATATTTCTCAAGAAATTCTGTCACCGCTTCTGGAGACTCAATGGAGGAAAATCCATGCAACCGAATTGTCTTGACCATGTTGGTACTGTTGATGGCAGCATCTGCTGTTTCAGAGTACAGGTTTAAATTAATGACTCAGAACTCGTTACAACTTCTTTATGCATAAGCTTAAAAAAAATAAAAAATAAAAATAAGACTACAATAACTAGTGAAAGTCAGAAGGAAGGTTGCAACCAACTGTCCGAATTTAAAAACAGAGCTGACAAGATCTGGATTACAGGACAAAATATTACCTCTCTCCAGAACGAATGGTCCTTCGTGTTCTTTATAATGAATAAAACTATTGCGTAGATTTGGAAGCTCGCACCTAGGTAGAAGCTCCAAACATACAGCAGAAGATTGTCCAATGCAGCATGGAGTAAAATCAACTCCTTGAACCCACTGTCCGGAAGCTTTCTTGAAAAGCTGAGGGGCACCAAGTAACTAGAAAGAGAGAGGAAGAGAAAATATTAGCAATTGGTAAATATGATCAACCTTTAGTAGAACTTAAAACAGTTATCCACATTGTTTCATTTAATTTAAATTATGTTGGGCAAACCTGGATGAGAAGAAACTTTGTAAGTTGACCGTGTGGACGACGTAGCTCAATCTGGCTACCCTTTTCAGGGGTGATCTTAAGCTTGTAATCAACCGAAGCATAAGAGAAAAAAAAGTAGATGTTCTTAAGTCCCACCCCAAATTTCACCAAAACATCCGATCTTTCCCAAAGCACAGAAAACTGTTCCTCAGAAATCTTGCATCCCAAGTGAAGTCGTACGCGTTCCATACAGTGCTCAAAGATTTCTGAGTCGGGTATGATGTCAAACTTCGATTTTTTAGCTATCAGATAAGACTCATTGTACCACAGGCTCAAATGATCGGCTAATGCAATTATCATATCAGCAAATTCTGCATGTGTGAACCGAACAATGGCAAATGTTCTTGACTTTCCATCTTTGGGAGGAAAAAGCTTTACAGCATGAACAGTTCCTTTTCCGGTATATGCCTCCAGAAATTCTGTCACTGCTGCTGGAGACTTCATGTCCATGGAGGAAAATCCATACAACCAAATTGTGTAATCCATGATGACGGCAACTGCTGCAGTTTCAGTGTACAATTTTGTGTTAATATATAATAGTAGAAACTAGAAAGAAATCTGAAACCTGTTAAATAACAGAGCTCAAGAAAAGAAGTAATAAACAGAATGCAAACATAAGACAAGCCTTGCAAGCATGGTCCTCACATTTCAATTTTCAACCAAATGGAAATGAGAAAAAAAAATGTCCTTGAATTTTTGGTACGTAGGCCAACTTTGCTCTGTAAGAAACAAAGCTCATGAACCCTATATATATATAGGAAAAAGAAGAGCACACAGAGGTGAGAGACTGGAGGTCAAAATTTAAGTCCATCTCACACACTGTAAATAACTTGTCATGGACGTTGTAGCTAGCACTGAAAAACAAAAAGAAAAAAAAAACTTGTCATCGCAGTTTTAGCAGGGGGAAAAATAGAGGGGGAGAGAGAAGAATTAAACTTGTCAGTGAGCAGTGGCAACCTATTGCCATGATGGGGAATCTTTTAATCCTTGATGAGGAAGGCTAGAAACAGTAATATACAAATAGAATAGACCCTTTCAATAGAGCATTTGGAGCACTTTCTGAAAGATTGTTCGGAAAGTATTTAGATGGAGCCATCCATGTACCACACACCATCCTTGTTGGGACGGTTTTATAATTGCTTTGGCGTATATAGGGAGAGACTTAGTACTTTAAAATGGAGTGGGTTAAATTTATTTTATGTACGTATCATAGAATGGAACATAAAGGTGCAGCTACTACACCGTGCCAATTTATTCTTTTATTTATTTATTTATTTCACTTAAAGGGAATATGTGTGAAGAGGGTTATTAATGAAAGGAAAATTAGCAGTAGTCTGTTCAAAAAATATATATATATATATATAATTAAAAAGAAGTTGGAAGTTGGCTAAAAAAGTAAGAACAAGACAGAAATACTTTTCATTTTAGAGAGAACTTTACATAGATGTCCTGGAATAGTCAAAGAGAATTGAATTCATTAGTTCGTCTTATCTTCTTTTCCTTAAGTGTATTGTTGGATGAGTTATGAGTCTTGGTTTGATGTGAGCCTTTGGATGTGAGCGTGGCATGATTGTCATTAGCAGGCATGAGTGGGATAAATTAAATTTTAGGCTGATAGAATAAGGTCATCTCCAGTCATGGGCCATAAGGCAAACATAGCCCTAAAATAATGCAAAACCCATTTCCAGCCATGAACTATAAAATAATAATAATAAATTTTTTTTTGTTTTTTAAAAAGGGCCACATTGAGCTCTTTGGCCCTCCAACCAAGCCACTTGTAACTCAGCTATAGCCCAGGGCAAATTTTTTTGTAGGCCATTTAGCCTTTAGCCTTTTTTTTTTTTTTTTTTTTTTTTTTTTTTTGCTTTTTTTTTATGTATATAAATTTTATAAAAAAATTTATAAACAATTGGTTCTGACCGTTGGGAGGTCAGAACCCTTTGAAATGCATCAATTTTATTTTTTTTCAAAATTGTCGTTGTTGGCTTTCTTTTCTTTCTTTTTTTAAAAATTTTAAAAAAACTTAAAATATGTCTATAAATACCTCAAAATTTCTTCAAAAATATTCCTACACATTTCTTACAAATTCTATCACATTCTCTACTTATTCACAACTTTCCACAATGTTTTTTTTTGTCAAATACTTTCCACACTCATTGCATTCAAAAATCTTATTAGAAATCTTGTTAAATGCTTATCAACGTAAACTTGTCATATCTGGAATATTGTCCCTAAATAGTTTAATTAAATTAAACATTACATAGTAGTGGAATGTATGAGTGTTGCACCATAGTTTTTCTCAAAATAATAAAATATTTAGGATCCTAAAATATAGTCATGCATGGCTGGAGATGGAAAAATTTAACCCTACACTATTCTTTAAAAAATTAATATTTTAAAAGGCTAAAATTATAGCTCTAGATTATATTTAGCCCCATAACTGGAATCAAGTTATTCTCTTCTTTTTTTCTATTTCTTTTTTGATCCAATCAGGTTAGTCCCTTCTAAGCACTGTCCCTGCTTGTGGAAGTTTTGAACCAATCATGATGGCTTGGTCCTTTCGGAGAACTTTGGCAAATAATCTTATAGAATCTCACATTGCCAATAAGAACTCACGTATACTTCCCATGCTGGGGAAACTTTACTTTGCCCCTTGCTGAGCATGGTTTTGGGCCAGGGAGGAGAGAGAGCATAACTTGACTGAGTGAGAAGGAATCTGAATGGGTTGCTTGTCTAAAAGCAGTAATTTTGAAATTTTATGTTTTTTTTTTTTTTTTTTTTTTTTTTTTTGTGTGAGGAACTTGCTCCCAAAGGAGTTAGAGATGGAGCCACCCACTGCTCACTATCCTAGTTAGGAATGTTTTTTCATGCAGCATTTGGGATGAAAATTTGAACAATTAATCCGCGTCCACATTTATTGCCTATCAGAACGAAATTTGAGTTTCAAAAACCTAAAAAACTTCCCTTTCTCTATTTTGTTTACTTCACCAGCTTTTTTCATGCATATGTGTCAGTGGGACTTACAAATGGAGATGTAAAAATTAATGTATATCTATGAATTTTTTTACACTTTCAGGCGAGACATAAATTTACATCTTCAATATTCCGGCCAATTGAAGCTCTAAATAGTACAACACAAACCATGAAAGAAAATGTGGAATTCATCTAATAGTACAATACAAAGAAAAAGTGAGACAGATGCATAGAGGAGGACGTGAAGATGAAGAGAAGAGACTGAGGTTTTTAACCGTAACACTTTTATATTTTTCTTTTTTTTAAAAACAAAAATTAGCTGGATGAAACCTATTAAATACATTCATTATGCATTATGAAAACAAGAAGCATTCTTGCTTTGGTGGTTTACGGTGCGTTTGGATGAGGGAAATAATCTTGGGATTTTGACAGAAGTCATAATTTCTAAGAGCATCTCCAGCATTCTCTTCAAAGGCTTTGGGACACTAAAATAGGTGAGCCACATAAGCAAACCTTCTCCAACAGCCTTGTCAAACCCAGTCATTCAAATTTGGGACTCATTGACTCTACAGAACACATTTATTAATTAAGCTTTGGAACAACAAAAGCTAGTGAAAATGATGAATTATTATTTAAATATTGATATGGTATTGTTAAATCAAATTAAATATTAGTTTTTGATTAAAAAGAAAAAAGAAAAGTCAAACATTGAATTAATTACATTGAAGAGGCTATTGGAGGTACAAAATAATAAAGTAGCAAACTTTACTCTTCAAATTGTCACGTAGGCCAACAAACCACAATTTGAAGAGTTCTCTAAATTGACATAAACTGTGTTTGGATAACAAAATAACGAAATTTATAAATTCCGCGTGGGATAAAATATGGAATTTGGAGGTCATAAATCTCAACTTTAAATTCTATCTAAGTAGTCCTCATTTCTAAAATTTCAAAAGTAGAGATTGAGTTTTAAAAAAATATAACTTTACAAATGAACGTTAAATTACGTGTTTAAATTCGTTAGCCAAACAAGAAACTTTACAAATTCCACCACATTAATTTCCATCATTTTATATTTTATCATTTACAAATTCCTTTGTATTTATAAATTTCGTTTTTTCTTTAGTTTGGCCAATTTTCGGGTTGATTTTCCCAGCCCTATAGGTAGTATGTTGGGCTCAAACAAAGGTATATATATATATGGGAAAAAGATAAATGTAATATAAATTGACACAATGGTTGCGGTAGCCTATACTTCCAAGTAACCCATGTGAACAAATAAAAATCGAATGGATCAGAAAGTTGACCTTGACTAGCTAAGGTGGGTAAACATAAACATTCTAGCCATGCACTGGTCATCCACGATCGAAGGGAGCCTGTAATAAACATTACCAAATTTGGACAAAAAACACAACGACCCTTAATTTTGTCGTGACTCGTGAACAATGATCTCCCCACCTCACAATCCCTAACAGAAATAACTGTCATTCTGAGCTCCCATCCCATATAAATACCTCCATAACCCAAACACTTTGAGAGGCACTAATAAGTATTATCCAGTGCCCCAAATAAAGTGACCCCAACAGCTCTGCAGCAACTCACCTGAAAAAGAAATAAGAAGTTCCCGCAACAAAAATCCTTTTGTTTAACCCTTCTTATTTTCTTTTTCGCCACCAGAATCCTTCTTTAAAAAAATCTATAAATTAGTTATTAAATATATTATTCAAAATGAGCGGAGGAGAAGCACAGAATAAGAAAAAGAAGATCGCCATCATCGGCGTCTCCGCTCTGATTCTGGTGGCTATGGTAGTTGCTGTAACTGTTGGGGTCACCGTGTCACGGCACAAAGGCAAATCCGGCGGCGAGCAAACATCCACGTCGACAAAGGCGATCCAGTCGATCTGCCAGCCCACGGACTACAAAAAAACCTGCGAGGACAACCTGTCCAAGGTGGCCAGCAACGTCACCGACCCAAAAGAGCTGGTCAAGGCAGGGTTCCAGGTCGCCATCGACCAGCTCCGCGAGGTCATCAAGAACTCCACGACCTTGAAGGAGCTTGCCAAGGACCCCAGCGCAAATCAGGCCTTGCAGAACTGCAAGGAGCTCTTGGAGTATGCCATCGACGATTTGGGTGACTCGTTCGATAAGCTAGGTCCCTTTGACTTCACCAAGATCGACGCCTACGTGGGGGATCTCAAGATCTGGCTCAGCGCTGCCATGACGTACGAGCAGACTTGCCTGGATGGGTTTGAGAACACCACCGGTGACGCTGGTGAGAAGATGAGGCAGTTTTTGAAGACATCTCAGGAGCTCACCAGCAACGGCCTTGCCATGGTAAGCGAAGTGTCCACGTTGTTCAAGACTCTGAACATCAAGACCGGGCGCCGCCTCCTCCAAGCCGCTGCCACGGCCACTGATGAGAAGAGGTTCCAGAGGGCTAAGATCATCCCTGCTTGGATAGACAACCGAAGGCTCGACCTCGCCACCGCCACTCCTCTGACGCTGAAACCCGATGTGGTGGTGTCCAAGAAGGGAGATGGCAAATACAAGACTATTAACGAAGCCTTGAAGGACATCCCAAAGAACAACGAGGTGAAGGTCTTCGTGATTTATGTCAAGGAGGGAGTGTACGACGAGCATGTCTTTTTCAATAAGCACATGACCAATGTCATGCTTATCGGAGATGGCCCTACCAAGACCGTTATCACCGGTAGGAAGAACTACGCCGAGGGTACACAAACTTACCAGACTGCCACAGTTGGTATGTACAACGTTTCGACATATGCATGTTATATTGTTAGGATTTTAGAACTATGTCTAGTGTCACTCATTATGTACATTCTTATGTTTTGCAGCTGTTGTTGGAGACTACTTCATTGCCAAGGACATCGGATTCGAGAACACCGCCGGAGCCATTGGACACCAAGCCGTGGCTCTGCGTGTGCAGTCAGACTTGTCCATTTTCTACAACTGCAACATGGACGGGTACCAAGACACCCTCTACACCCAAACCCACAGGCAATTCTACCGCGACTGCACCATCAGTGGAACCATCGACTTCATCTTTGGGGACGCAGCCGCCGTCTTCCAAAACTGCAAGATGATCGTCAGGAAGCCATTGGAGAACCAGGCCTGCATGGTGACAGCCCACGGTAGACTCGATATGCGCTCACCCTCAGCTCTTATCCTCCAAAACTGCACCATCTCCGGCGAGCGTGGCTACAACAAGGAACTCAACAAGGCCTACTTGGGCAGGCCATGGAAGAGCTACGCTAGGGCCATTGTCATGCAATCCCAGATCGATGATGTCATCGCTCCCGAAGGGTGGATGGATTGGACTGGTACCGCAAATCACAACACATGCTGGTTCAGTGAGTTCGGAAACAGGGGAGTTGGTGCAGAGTTGAGCAAGAGGGTTACATGGAGCGGGATGAAGAAGCTTACACCTGAGCACGCTGCCGATTTTACCGCTGGCAAGTTCATCTTTGGTGACAGATGGATTCTGCCCAGCGGTGTGCCTTACGTTGCTGGCATGATGACCGGAGTGTAGATAATGACGGGAATCCACTGTCATGTAGACGGTTTTTAAATCGTCATGAAATCAATTGTCATCTAAAACCACGACGGTAAATTACCGCCATTGTTACAACATACCACATCATTTTCAACTAAAACCCGATGCACAATTAATATAAAAACAAAAAAGGCGAATTTCAATAAGCATAGACAATGCTTTTTTAGAAGCTTCGCGTTGTCTAAAGGAGATAACATGATACAATTTATCAACCTCCCGCCGTAACGTAAAGTAACAACGACAAAAACTATTAACTTACCATCGTGCAGAATCACTGTCACGACAATACTTTAAAATAAAATAATCCGCCATTGTTAATCAAGATTCCACATTGCTTATGGTATGGAACAACGAGCAAATGTAGTAGTGATGGCTGTAAATATGGGAAGAATGATATTACAATCTACTACAACCCTAGTATTTACATGGCTGTCGTTGTTACTTAACTTACCACAACGCGAATCATATAAACATAGACGTGGTTCCTCCCTCTATCTGGCACTAATAACACCGATATTGTTGTGCGTATTTTGTTAGACTACATTAGGGATTAGCTTACTGAGGTTTAGAAGAACTTTCACAATAGATCTTTAAACTGAAATGCCTTTTGTGGTACTGATAGACGACGATAAATGTATATGGAAGGTCGTAGTGAAGTCGTTAAATACGTCGTTTTGTACCCTTTACCGTCATGTTATTATATTTGAAATGTCACATCTATGAACAACTCCGTTATGAATACGGCGTTGATAACACCGATATCTTCGTGTGTGTGTTTGTGAGACGACAACAGGTATTAACTTATCGACATTCAGAAGAACTTTCACGATATATATTTAAAATGAAATGGCTTTTGTGGTTCTAATAGACGACGGTAAATGTATATAGAAGGTCGTAGTGAAGTCGTTAAATACGTCATTTTGTACCCTTTACCATCGTGTTATTATTTGAAATGTCGCTTCTATGAACAACTCCGTTATGAATACGGTGCTGATAACACCGATATCGTTGTGTGTGTGTGTGTGTGTGTTTGTCAAACGACGACAGGTATCAACTTACTGACATTCAAAAGAACTTTCACGACAAATATTTAAACTGACATGCCTTTTGTGGTTCTTATAGACAACAATAAATATATATATGGCAGTTCGTAGTGAAGTCCTTAAATACATTGTTTTTTACCCTTTAACGACGTGTTATTATATTTGAAATGTCGCTTCTATGAACAACTCCATCGTGAATACGGCGTTGATAACACCAATATCATCGTGTGTATGTTTGTTAGATGAAGACAGGTATCAACTTACCGATGTTTAGAAGAACTTTCACGAAAGATATTTAAATTGAAATGCCTTTTCTGGTTTTGATAGACGACGGAAAATATATATATATATATATATAAGGTCATAGTGAAGTCATTAAATACGTCGTTTTGTATCCTTTACCATTGCATGTTTATATTTGAAATGTCGCTTATATGAAGAACTCCATTGTGAATATACAGTAGTAACGGCTACATGTGGCCGTTGTTGTTTGATTATTATTTATGATGCTTTCAACTAAATGACAGTCTTGTGTGTTAACCTTTAGATGTCAGTACCTACATTACGGTCGTGGTCTGATAATAAAAACGACATTATTTTTCATTCAACGTCACTAATTGGAATTTGATTTTATTTAATAGTAAATTTAGCTTACACCCTTCCAATTCAATTTGCCGTACCTACAACCCTTCACTTTTTGTTCCTATAAATAATACCCAATTTGTATAAGTAAAAACCCATGACTAGGATCCAACTCAGCAAATTACCTAATTAAACATAAAATATGATTTATTGTACTTTTCAGATTCCAAAAATACCCCCAACTAAGCCATTATTGCATTTTGTATATTAATGTAGGAATCAATATAGAAACAGTTTTTAATTTGATTGTATATAATGACAAACGTTGAATTTGGAAAGATCTCCAAATGGTTGTAATGGATGTAGGAATTAATTTTGAAACATTTTAAAAAAAATTTAACAATAAATTCAAATTTAGGTAATCGGTTTGTTTAATAAAATGTTTATGTTATTTTCTTTTTATGAATTATACATGACTAATAATCCACTTTATAATTGTTTATGAATATAACTGTACATACTAATTATGTTGAAAAAATAATGTAACTATTATTTGTTTGTTTTATGAAAAATATAATAATCGACGTGTTTTTTATTTCAAATGACGGTTTTTATTTAGGTACAGTCGTTTACCATCGTCCATTCCACGACGTTTGTTAAAAAATGAGGTTGGGTATCATTTAGACGTCTGTTTTTGCAATTTGTTAACTGGACCGTTGTATTTTATATCTTGAACCCAGTATTTTTAATACTGAAAGTGTTGTGCCCAAAACCTGCATAATGAAAGTAAAAAAAAAATAATGTCATACATTACAATTTATTACAAAATTAATGTCATACAAAGCCATTTAGGGCATAACTAATGTCATACATTAAACCATCGTTCAATCCATATATTTTCACTCCCAAACTTACCAGCTAGTTCATCAAATGTCTCAACATTTGGCATCCTTCTAGTAAATTGCTCACACTCAATTCTCACATCACCTAGCACATCATCACCAATAACATTATTATATTCTCTATTAGGCATTGATAACACCACCGACCAGATCGTTATGCCTTTCGTGCGGGTCGGAACTTACCCGACAAGGAATTTTGCTACCTCAACTATGATGCATTGGATCGTCAAGAAAAAATACTTGTTTGACTTGAGAAGCCATAACAAATTGGTCATTCCTATGTCCAATTTTATTCATATCTACAAGGGTACATCCAAGTTCATTGACTACAAGGCTAGAAACATTACCTATCCAATCACACATGAAGACTAGGATTCAAAACTTTTGGTAGTCAAGGCCCTAAATATCTTGAATGACACCATATAAACCCATATTTAAGACAATCGGGTTTTTATCCTTGGCACTAGCAACTTGAGCCGTAGTGAGTAAATAAACTTCACTATTTTGAACAGTTCGGACATCATCTTGTGCCTTAGTGTTAAGTTTAACACCTTTACTAAGATAGCTCTTATATGATGGCACTACCATGCTTGGACCAGCTGCTAGCCACCTCAAATTTTCTGATACGCTATTATTGTCTTTCCTATTGAGTTCACTTTGAACTTGCAAATTAATCATATCTTAATTCAATCTAACATAGAAAGAAGAAAAATAAAAGTTTAATATGTTATTCAATAACATGTACCTTCAAGCGTAACCATTGAATGAAAGTGTTGTAGTGCTTATCTTGCAGTCACTTTGTTCACTTTTTAAATTTTCGATAAGTGGCCTTGATGTGGATCATATGTTCCCTACGGAAAATTCAAGCATTACAATACCTTGTATATAAGAAAAATATAAGGAATAATTTAAAACATAATGAATTAAACTCATACTCGATATAAGGTAAGACTTCCTCTGTATTCTCCAACACATATAGATGTGCCTAGTTTAACAAGTCTCGATCAACTAAACTCACTGAGCAACCTGATAGTGGCTTTGAAAGTCCCATTTTCTGGCTTGATGGCACTCCAATTGTACTAACATCAAATAAATGCTTGGTGCAAAACTCCACAGCTTCTTCAGCTATATACCGCTCAGCAATGCAACTTTCAGGATGAGTACGGTTCTAAACATACCTCTTTAGCACTTTCATATATGTTTCGAATTGATACATCCATCTAAAATAAACTGACCCACATAGACAAACTTCTTTAACAAGATGTACTACTAAATGAACCATAATATCGAAGAATGAAAGGGGAAAGTATTTCTCAAGCAAACACAAAGTAAATACTATATCTTCTTCCAACTTATCTAGCTTGGAAACATCCACTTTCTTTGCACATATAGCAATGAAGAAGAAGTATAATCAAGTTATTACATACCTTGCAGGCTTCTCCAAAATAGAACAAATTGCCACAGGAAGCAATTGTTGCATCAAGATATGACAATCATATGATTTAAGGCCAAAAAGTCTTGAATCTTGTAAAGATACAAGATTTTTTATATTTGAATAATAACCTTTAGGAACCTTCATACCATAGAAAGAATTATAAACCGTTCTCTTCTCTGTCCCTGACAAATTCCAAGGCCCTGGAGACAAGCAAGTACGTCTTTC